TATACCTCTCCCAGAGAAAAGACGCAAACAAACACCTGATATCCTTTTACTTGTACTAAGATACACAGACTTGAAAATATTTTATTTTAACAGACATTTTCATTTATGTTTGCTTCTATCCTTTTCAAAACTATTAAAAAAAAAATTCTACTATGCATAGATATCGAACATCTTAATCAAAATCCTCCTACGTGTTCATGCACTTCTCCTAACAATTATAGCCCTGCTGGATTTGACAGTGGTGGTAACAGACATATAATAATGGGATGGACCTTAAATCAATTTTCTTTTTTAAATGGTCGAAATTTTTCAGTATCTGATAAACCTCTGTATTGTGATCTTCTAGTATCTACTTCTTTCAAAATATGCAAACTTTAATAATTTTTTACTTCAAGAATGGAAGTAGGTATGCAGAGAGACTTTTAAAATACTGTAAATGTTCTATTTTCCTACTGGGTCATGATTCTGCTGAATCACAATCTCTGTTTAATCCATTCATAGAAATTTATGCTTTATATTCTCTGTATGCCTTAAATATACTTTATAGACTTGTATAGTGTATGCTGCCACTAATTTCTGTGGAAAATATGTCTTAGCTTACACAAAAGTAATTAATACACTCTGTAACACATAAAAAAAACCCTGATCATTGTGAACCTTGACTATCTTACCACAACTAAATCTGTATCTTGATGAGGGAGACATTTTGGAAGATTTACGAATCATCAACAAAGTCAGTGGTAAACCAGTCAGTAAGAAGGTCACCCCCCATCCATCACCCATGGAAACCATTATAGCGGAAGCCAAAATTGATGATGGAAGGCTTTATTATGATAAAAGATGGTTTGTACTACTTTGTTTTTCTAGATCCTCATACATGTAAATAAGCATAGGCAAGTGTTGAACCACAGAAGTCTGAAGTTTTTATCGTAAAAATAAAAAATCTGGAAAAAAATATCCCATCCTCAACTTTAAAAAAGCAGTTGAGGTGGAATACATGTATTTTTTTCCAGATTTTTTTAACGATAAAAACTTCAGACTCCTGTGGTTGGACATAGCCTATAAGCTAGAATCTTTTGCAGCGTGATTTTTTGAAGGGGATTTTTTTTACACGTTTACTGATTTTAATTGAGATGGGTGATTTCATTGTTTAGTAAAAATTTTAAAAGTCTGTGTAGTTTAGCAATCTCACACGAGCAGTAACAAAAAACTGAATTGTTCCACTATCCTTCAGTTCTAAAAATGTAGTTGATACACAGAATCATATTTTTAAGGGAGGTCCTTAACTAGTACCTACTTTTGTGATAAGGAAATCAATTTTTCCCCCACATCATGCTGTGTTTATCAAACTTGTCTTTTTCCAATGGGTTAAGAAAAGGTGAATTGGTATTTACACATTTTACTTATAGGTTTCATCGGAATCAACCAGTATTTGTAGAGTCTAAGGATATGGGGAAGTTTACAGGGGTAATAACAGCTGTAGGTACACAAGAGGTGAGTTTCATACTGTAAATACTGGATAAGTGGAAATTTTAGCAAGATGCAAATTTGGAGATTTTGTCCTTGAAAAATGGTATTTTATTTTTAGCAAGATGTAATTTTTTAGAGATTTAAAAATGCTAAATTAACCTATTATTGCAAATTAAAATGCAATCAATTTTATTTTACATTCAATTTTAGGATTCTCAGCATCCTCTTTAATAATGCTAAAATTAAATCCTCACTAAAGATTCTGCTTATACGTTACTTTTAATTTACCTGTGATTGGTTTACAGAAACATTAGTTGACTGACAATGAGCAAAAACAAACAGACAGATGTAATTAACAATTATTGAAGATTTTTAGCATAGTTTAGCAAATTTAGTTAAGATATAAAAATCATATTTTAAAATCATAATTGACTGTAACATATCCTGTTGATTTTATTGTAAAAGAAACAATTGCAATATTTTTTTTTAAATATAGGTTTAATTGGCATAGTTGAAATCTGAATACTTTAAATGGGTACTTCTGTTATACAAAGCATGATTTTTCATATTTGCAGATTTGGATTAGAAAAATTCCAGACAACTGTAAAATGAGAATTTCAGTCGGGCAACTAGAAAAAGGACAGATATTTTTAAGACGAAGGTGAAAGGTGCTAATCAGTATTATACTGCATATGACATTGTATGTGCTAATATTTCATAACAATGTGAAAAAATGTCTGTTTTCTACTATGAAAAGTTATTTCCCCTGATGCATTCAGTGAGAATAAAATGGAACACTGCCACCATTAAATGTATTTTGTACAATTGTTTAACTAAATATGTGAAATTTTATACTCTGAGAGTATTAAAGATGTTTTGTTAAATAAATCTGGTGTTCAGTTGTATATTTTGGTTTAGATTTAAAATGTAAACCCAGTTATACATGTTTTCATTTCAAACTATTCAGAAATGGAACGAAAGTTGGGTCCTTAAAAAAAATGCTTCTGATCATGAGCCATAGGCTCAGAAGTGAGTAAACTTTTTGGAGTGTGTATATATGTCGGTTGGTTAGTCTGTCTGTCGGTCCACTTAGTTTCCATTCATTTTCTTCACAACCATTGCACATACTGATTACTGCAATGAAATTTGGTATACAGATATATCAGATGAACATCAAGGTCAAGTTCTGTTTTGGGAAAGGTCGCATCATTTTTGACAGAGTTATGCCCCTTGGACTTAGAAAAATTCCAATTATTTGCAGTTTCCGTTCATCTTCCTTGCAGAGGTTGCACATACTGAAATGAAATTTAATATAACTTGGCACACAAGTATACACAAAGATATATCAGGTGACTATGAACTAGGTCAAAATTAGTTTTCTGTAAATTGGAATGTGATCACACCATTTTAAAATGCATCGGTTTTTGATTTATGCCCCTTGGACTTCGAAAAATTCCAAGGAGGCATAAGTGTTTTACAAACATCTCTTGTTTAAGAACCCTTTGGTCAATTTTTATGCCCTCCTTTGAAGAAAGGAGGGCATATTGCTTTGCTGCTGTTCACCAAGTTTCTGTTCATTTTCTTTACAGCCATTGCACAACTGAAATGAAATTGGGTATACAGAATTATCATATGAATATCTAGGTCAAGTTCTGTTTTGGATATGATCCAGCAGTTTGGGACAGAGTTATGCCCCTGTGTGGCCAGATAGATCAGTTGGTAGAGCACATGACTAGAGATTCAAGGGGCCCAGGTTTGAATCCCAGTCTGGTCTGCTGCATTTTTCTCCTCTCCTGTTACATTTAGTGATGTGCCATGCCCTGGAACTGAGGGATGAGAGGCCTGCAAGGGATGAGCTTGGGTTTGGGTCCTTGAGGGACCAAAGACCCCTAAGGAAGGAGGAATGTGGTGGTCAGCCGGATTAGATCACCGGTTGGTAGAACACCTAACTGAAGGGGGCCTTGGCTCGAATTCCGGTCTGGTCCACTGCATTCTCCTCTCCTGTTACAAAGCTAAATATTTTGGAAACTTTAAAGTTAAATATTGAGAAGTGGATTTGTCTCTAGGAATAAAAAAAGAGGCTCGTGGGCCACATAGCTCATCTGACCTTGAGACCATAAACAAATTCTGAAGAGACAACTCAAAATTTTCATTTTGAATAACTTGAAATCCTAAATATTCAATCTCTGTATAATTTGGATTCCCATGTTAGGACTCCACCCTAAAGATTAACTAAATTAAGTCTTGATTTGAACAATCTTGAATACACTGATCACATTTTGTTCATCTTCCGTTGTCCGTCTGTAAACTTTTCACATTTTCGATTTCTTCTTAAGAATCACAGGGCCAATTTTAACCAAACTTGGTACAAAGCATCCTTGAGTAAAGGGGAATTGAAATTGTTAAAATGAAGGGCCACGTCCTGTCACAAGGGGAGATAATTAAGAAAAGACAAAAATAGGGTGGGGTCATTAAAGAATCTTCTTCTCAAGAACCACTGGGCCAGAAAAGCTGAAACTTATATGGAAGCATCCTTGGGTAGTGTAGATTCTAAATTGTTCAAATCATGACCCTCGGGGGTTGGGCGGGGCCACAATAGGGAATCCAAATTTTACAAAGAAATAAGTAGGAAAAAATCTTCTCAAGAACCACTGAGCCAGAAAAGCTGAAACTTATATGGAAGCATCCTTGGGTAGTGTAGATTCTAAATTATTCAAATCATGACCCCCCGGGGATTGGGGCGGGGCCACAATAGGGAATTTGAATTGCCCGAATTAAGACCCTTAGTTGGGGGTACGATGGGGTCACAGTAGGTATTACAAGGGGGAAATCTGGGTTCATGTTCAAAGCTTTTCAGGTGAGCGATATGGCCCATGGGCCTCTTGTTGAGAAGAAGGTTAATGAAAAAAAGGTATTTTATAAAATTTTCAATGTCTTAATACTATCTCCCCTTGAAATGACTGCTTTTGAACAAACTTCAATTCCCTCCACCTGAGAATGTGTTATTGTTTAAAACTGGACCAATAAAGAAGATGTAAATGTGATAAATTAATGTCAACAAATTATTGAAATCAGTGACCAGTGACCATTAACACATACATGTAGGTTTTGCGCCTTCGGCTCAGGTGAGCTAAAAAAAGATTTTAAAAGGGACGGGTATCTTTTCTATGAATTTTCTTGTGTACATATATAACAACAAAGACTTAATCATCTTAAACATGTTAAAGCCACTGCTTTCAGAATACTATGTATATAGTACTTTGTCGTTTGTGTCTTTTCCCCAAAATGTGTATATCGGGTTTGGAATTCTAGATCCGCGCCACATTGTCATTTTAAAATCACTCCGCGATATCTATCTAAAAATAAAGGAAAATGTAATATCGTTATAAGAGCAAAAAAATAATGTACATACTAAAACTTTGCTAATTGTTACTTATCAAGACAATAGGTGAAAGGAAGAAAATAAATTCAAACAGTGTTTTTGCTTGCAATGGGACTATTTTTCTTAGACGGCAGGATAAATTGATTAATCACAAAAACAAAAACAAAGTGAAAGATCGGGGGAACTATTATTCAGATGATAAGTTTATTTCGGGAAGATAGCACAAGTGCAAAGAAAAACTTAAATCAGTAAGGTTTGTTTTATTTTAGGTAGAATCAATTTATGATTTAATCCACACATTTGCTGTTTTTGATCATGAATATGTTAATCTTTTGTTCGTACATATTTTGGTCAGTTGGCCTTTGATAGTGAGCACAAGCTCAGACCATGAAGATTATGGTGTGACTTCCGAATTCCATGTTTCTCGGTGCAGCTTTGTACATGGGGGTGATTTTATAAACATTGCGAGTTGTTTTTATCTGTTGTCCAAATTCGGGTTCGTAGTTCTAGAGCTGTGCAGGTGCCCGGTATATATTTTGTATGGATCTGTTTTTAGATCCACTTCATATATTTTTCTTTAGATGATTAAACTAAAAAATTGTTTGCCGTCATTTTCATATGACTTTCCATTTTTAAAAGGAGGGGATCATCTTTTAAGATTATTGTTGTCCACTATATTCACCTCCTAAAAAGCTGGGAAAAGGATATGATAGGTTGATTGTGTCATTTCTGTTTTTAATTAACCTTACTGACAGGGGCAACTTCACATATGCATTTTCTGCCACACCGACTGGTATCTACATGAATCAAATGTGAAGGAACATATGGCCGATGTCCACATTTCCCTAATTTTATCATTCTTATATATTTACAAGCACAATATATGTACATCCATTGAGATGCTTCTGCAGTGTGCCTGCATGCACATTGAAGTGCAACTGAATAGTTCAAAATATCATATATATATATTCAAGAGATAACCTTAGACTTAGTATGTAGCTCATTGTTGACTTCTATAACAGGGAAAAAGGAAGGATCGAATTGTTACACAATTCCTCTTCCTTAATTATAAGTGTACTGGTATATTGTCATACATACAGGGAAAGTTTGTCTAATAATTCTTGTAACAGTTTAACCTAATTAATTACATTTGATTATTGAAGGCAATAGTTCATGTATCCTCATCTTCCCCTTCTTTAAACTAAGCATAGACTTGATAGAGTCCACTTTGCTAAATCCCACTGTGGGATGTGTAGACAGGTCCTTTGGATGAGACGTACTGTATAAACCAAGGTACCGTGTCACAGTAGGTGCTAGGATGAAAAAGATCCCTCCCTGCTCATAATGCCCGCCCGTTAGTGTCGAGCAATCAGCATAGGACAACATTTGCAGCTCTTTACCAGCAAGTGGTGGCATCTCCATATAAATGAAAAATTCTTGAGAGAAACTTTAAACAACATATAAACAAACAAATGTTCCAAGAGAGTTGAAGGATAACAGCTAAGAGAGAAATGTTTGACTGTTAACTATAATTGTCATTTAATATACATAACATTTAAATTATTGGTATAGTGCAGAGGCATGCTGTTATTGCCATGTTTTTGAGGGGAGAGTCCGTGTATCTGGTCAGACTCACAAATTTTTTGAAATGCAAAAATATATACAGATATTGAAATTTCCCCAAAACTCAAAAACCTGTTTGGGAGAGCAAGATCCAGGAAAAGACAGTACCCTAAGTCATCCTTCTTACTATGTGAAGAGGGTTCATGTTTCCTAGGTTTTGCTCAAGGTCATTTTGCGTTTTTACATATAGCTAACAGAATAACTCCCCCTTCTCTCCCCTATATCTGCCTATGTCTGTCCAACAGTAGACACAAATTTTAGCTTAGACAGCTCACTTACCAGCTAATAACAAGTATAGACAGAGCTAACTTAATGATTAGATATATTCATTAAATACTGCCTTGTCTCCACTTCCTTAAAAATGCAGTGTTTATTAAAGCTTTGTAATTATAGCTTTTTATTTGAAAAACTTATAATTGACATCTTGAAGGTTTTGTGACATGATGAACTGACCATGTCTGCATATCAGGATACATCTCTGATTCTTAATTTTATTCTTGAAACATGAAACAAACCTGCCAGACAAAAGAACCCCACAGCCGTTATTATGATTGACAATGAACCTTTAGTTTATATATGATATTTTATCACCTTTTATGTTCACAAGTTAGCAAGCACTTTGTGACATATATTAGCTGTATTTTGATACATTTATTTGTTGGGCTTTTATCTCCCTGTTAGAATATATATATAAAACCAATATCTCACCTATTTTTCATGGCTTGTTTCTCTTTATTCCCACTAATAGCCCCCCACTTACTCAATTTCAAGGCACCTAAGGCACTAATATTATGGCAAAAAATTGTGTTCAGAGTAATTAACCTGAGCAAAAGTAAATTACATCAATCCCACAATTTTCTTTTTGTGAAGTTCATTTCATTAGCGGCTCTGTTAGAATGCACTGTGATGTCTTCTCTCATGGTAATGTACAGGTTGGATGGTGCTGAATTTTGTTGGCTTACAGTATTATACTTAAGATTTGCTTAATTTTGTGGTTATTTAAAATCTGGATATGTCTTTAATTAAATGCTGGTAGGCATAAAATGTTATATACCGATTTAAATGGTGTATACCACAGATAGGTTGTATTATGTACTAGTTGGTACACATATACATGTCAGATGGATAATATTCATGCATAGGTAATTGTACAGTTTATATACTGTACATGTTCATATTTTTACTTATACTCATTTTTTTTTTAATTATTAGATCCTAAAAATGTCTGCCTCTTAAACAGGAAATGTATGTAACATCTATACTGATATAGAAGAAGGAAATATAGGAATAAAGATGTTGATATTTGATGAAAGTAATCCGTTTGATAAACAGATGATTCATCTGATAAATCCTTATTAACAGTCTATCAAGTAGTACCAAGCATTCACCTTTTATTAGGTGATTATAACTAGACTATATTGAGATATCCTTTATAACAATGGGGGTGGGATATTTTGTTTGAATAGTGTCAGACTGAGTAGAAAATATTAAGGGGATATGTTAAATTGTTTTCCTGCCAACCTCCATCCCTTCCCCTCTTCAAAGTATTTTTGTCAAGTACCCTGTATAGATAGTGGTACATGTTATTGTATCTCACCATAACTGTAATAAATACATATTCAAATGTAAAAAGTAATAGTTTTGAACCTTTTTGTTGAAAATGTGCATAAAAAAGCATTACATTAGCCATCAATTAAACCATACACTGTGCATTTTATCTTATTCCACTAATTTTTTTCATTTGCTTCCAAGGAAATTTGTTGACAATTAATGCCTCCCTTCCCAACTGTCCAGTTTGTGAAATTCTTGACCATAAGTCCCTGATAACTTTCAGATAAGAAAGAAAAAGTATGCATGTAAGTACATTTTTTCAAAAAAGAGCTGTACTGCTTTGTCGGACTCCTCTTGTCTCCATACCTGTTGTAAACGGAGTGTTAGAGCTATGATACAGGTGCTGGGGTATTTTATCTTAAATGTTTGCCTGAGAGATTCGGAGATAAGACAGATTATGCCGGGTAAATCTTCCTATACTTGTAACTCTGTGTACTTTATAATTTCTAGGGATCACAAGTGGTTTCCTTCGTTAACACTATAGTGTTCAGTATGTAACGGTATAATGCTCTGATATGGATTTTTTTCTTGGTTATCTGGTATACTTTTTGTATTTGTCCAGATTTTAAGTAATAAAATTTTTGAGTTTTTTCTGAAAATTGATCTTCTTAAAATTTGATTTACATAAACTTTTCAGCGGTGTTATTTGCAATGAAATAGTTATAAAGGTGCACTCTAGCAAAATTTAATAAAACCTAATTTTGAAATCAATTCAGTATTTACACTTTATAGTACTGTAGCTTTTTTAAGCTACAAAAGTTGGGCCAACTTTAATAGGGTTGATTGTTGCAAAACTCATCTGAACATCTAAAGCTGTTATATTCTCTCATGATAGACAAACATAATCTCCAAAATTAACTTTTAAAAAAAGCTTTTAATCCTGTTATTTTGTTGAAACTCTTACCAAATATAGGTACAGTGGGTATAATTAAAATAGAATAATTTAACTACTTTTCGTGACTGGATTGGTTCTTAAATGGCAGTTTTACCACAGAAATGTGTGTTTAAAAAGTCAATATTCCTCTAAATCCATATGAATAAAGAGTCTGCGATGTTTAAACACAGAAGACCTTTGTGCAGTGCAGTCTCAAGGGGTCAAAATAAAGTTCAAATGTTTTGATCTCGTAAGAACAAAGCAGGCAGGGATCATATACAATGTATGCTTCAGATGATTCCATGGAATATTTATGTCCAAGATGGTGCTATTGAAGGTTTTAATCATGTTAATTAATAGCCAATAACTTGTTTGTCACACAGGGACATATTAATTAAGTTATCCAGCTAAAAATCTGTAATTTTCAACATTTTTATGCAACCAACTTTGGCTTTATATTTATAAATACTGGCAGGCAGTCTCAAGATTCAGTGGCAAGTTTTCAATACCCTTAGCACTACATTACCCTTATTTGCCAATACTGAAATTGAAAGTGTACTAACTAGGCTATATACATATGTAGGTGATTCACTGTATTTAGTTACTACTAACATTTCTCATGTAAACTAGTATTTTGGATTACATACCCTATAACATAGTGTGAGCAATTTAGTAAAATGTCATTCTCAAAATATGATGGTTTTTGTGGTAAAATATCACATTACATGTATTTGATTACTTATTCTCAGTCAGTCAAATCATCAAATCAAAAGCCGGTGTACAGCACCAGAAAAACAAACTATGTAACTTTGATATCTTGAAGCCCATTAAAGGTACAATATGATAATGTTTCTCAGGATACAATAAAAATGCCTGTATACATTTTTAATCGACCATCTATGAATATGTGTGCTTTAAACATTCATTTCTCTTGCAAACACTTCCAGTTGTGAAACAAATCATATTTCTCATTAATTATTAATCATGGACAGATTTTTCCCTGCATACACATGTACCCCTAGAGGCATTGACATGTGTACACGGTAATGAGTAAAATTCTTCTGATGGTCTTTGCTCTTTGTTGTAGAAAATGAAAAAAATGTGTCTTGGCTAGCACAAAATGCAGTGGATAGAATATTCATTTTCATTTGCTGGTGATTTGCAATTGGAGGTTAATGACCAAATGAGATGGAAGTTGATGAATTCAACTAGTAATTATTATAGATTTATAATTTTATTATCTAAGTGTAGAATGTTAATAGGCAATTGCTGTATTTATCATGTTAAAGATGAGTTATTGTTATTATTAATTAGCAATTCTAAAGTGAAAGGATCTTACAAGTATTTACAAAAAATCTATTTGAAAGCCTGAAAATAACATTATTGAGGTAGAAGAATGATGATACACATGCATGAGCTTCTTCTTGCAAATTTGTACTTAATTTTTTTTGTTGAAAAGATTATAGAATTTCATAATTTGAGTGTTGGAAATTGCAACTTGCTAAAAAATGCAAAAAAGTTGTATTTGACCAAAAAAAATTATGCAATAATAAGTTCAAATACAGATTCCTATGATGATTTTATTAATTTAAAAAAAAAAATAAACTTTAATTTTGAATTTTTTTTTATATTTCAGAGGAACTATGGAATCAATATTTAAGATAATTGTGATCAACTGATTGCAGCTGAATAGTACCACAGAGGACATTTATTTTTGTCAGACAGGAATTATGTGCAGGAAAAACAGACTTGCGAGCTGTTCAATCAGTCATTGAAATGTAGAGGATATTATTTTCTAAGTCATGTGAATTTGCAGACACTGTGAACTTAATAATTCTTTATGCATTATGAGCCATCCTCAGCAGAGTGTACCAATGGGCATCGAGGACCAGTTATCAGAAAGTGCAGCCATTTCGTAAGTAGGAGAGGGGGGATGATAAGTGGTATATTTACTGCAGAAAACAGTCACAGTTTTAGAATATTGATGACTCTAAATAAGTTCTTTCATGATCAGTCAACATCAATATCTACTGTGTAATGATCCATTTTGCCACAATTTGTGTAAAATATACAAATAGATTCAAAGGTTTAAGTAAGCACAGTTAGAACTTAGATGCATGGTTAAAAAAGTTTTAACTATCTAGGTCATATCCGAGTCACTTGGATGACCCTTAATCATGATCCTTTCCTGTCCATCTTAATATGGTATCCTGTGTCCATCAGTTTTAAACTGTATTTTAAAAACATTTCCAGCTTTCCATCTAGCTGAGAGCATTAATATATATTAAAAACATTTGAATTTCCTCTAGTTCTTAGAGCTTAAATTTCTTATTTACTCCATGGGGCCTCAAGGATACCAGCAAAACCTTAAAACTAAATTGAATGCAATCCCGAAAATAATTTTTTTTAATTACATCAGCCTGCATGAAAATCTGAGCAGTAAACTCTACCAAAAGCATGATTGATATTCATGACTCCAGTGAGAGCAAGATTTAGACTAGCTGTACTGTAAATCAAGTTTAAGATGAGCTTATTTTGGGAATGTTTTGTATATACATGTATATCTGATTGGAAATCTTTTTATTCTGGATATGCAGTATATGAAAAGCTCATTTGATTGATCCCTATAAAATAGCTTTTTGAAATTGCCTGTTGTGGTAAAAAGTTCAGATCCCAGCTATAGACAGATAGGGGCCATAACTCTTGGAAGTGCTTTTGTGTGTTTGAGAAAATTTTGTGGCATATTAAAGCAAAGCTCAAATGTCATCAAGTCAGCAGATCCATCAAACATGTTGAAATCACCACTGGAAGCTTTTGCAACCAAAGATGCTAGTGAATGCATCTTCAAAAGAAAAAACAATTGCACATATTTATTGCATGCACATATACCATGAATAATATAACTTGAACATAAAATTGTATCGATTATATCTTATACAGTTAATTTTCTTTCTAAGAAACTGGATTGTTTATTAATTTCACACACCAAAAAAAAAATTGATTTGTCATGGATCATAAGATAATGGTGAGCTTTTTTATGCAATATATCATTACCTCTTAAGATGGGGGGGGGGGGGGAGGGGATTGGTTGGTTGGTTGTCAAATAGTTATTCCCCTAGTGTTCTGAAGGTACAAATACCTAACTATTATTAAAAAAAAAAGTTTACACAACCAGCCTTATTTTATTTGTCATGTATTTACTTCCATTCCTTTACATGTTTTTCAATTATTCTTTCCTTTTATCATTATTATTTACATTAGCTATACTATATTTGATTAATGGTAAGATTTTAATACCAGTCTTCAAATATTGATACCACAAGTAAGTTACTCATTTGTTTATATTTACACAATTTTATAGATGGCATACTGATTGCTTAGTAAATATCTTGGTCTTCTGTGATTGTGCTTATGTATTATATGGTTCAGTGTTTGAACATCTTCATAAATCACAATTTGTGTCTATGGTATTTACCGGTACATGTAATCATTCATCTTTTGGCAGGGATTTTTTTTTTATTTACATTCATTTAGGTGTATGAAAAATTGATCATCTTTAATGGTTACAAGAAATATTATGCAAGCTCAATGAAGTAATAAATGAGATCAATTTTATATCCCTTCCTTTTCAATAACCATTTTTCTTTCTCCCTAATGGTTTGATCTGAATTATCCTTATATGATTATGTAAATTTTGACATATATAATTATAAAATTATTTTTATTTCCAGTAAACTTTGTGATTAATTTTCGCAATCAAGCATTTTCTGTTTTTAATAGAAAAAGAGACTTAGGACCCGTTCGCGGCGAGAAATATTCGATGACTTGTCTGGAAAATTTCAACAAGTAAAAAAAAAATGGCCACTTTGTAAGACAGCATTTCCTTTTGTAAGATTTAGATACTTGTCTTGAAACACATAAAAGGTATGAATGGTTCTTGAATAAATTTCTTAAAGGCAGTGAAATTAATGAAGAATGAATAATTTTAATGCAGAACAAGTTTTTAAACTTTGAATTAATGATTATCATACTGTTACAAAACTTATTTTACATCCTGTTTAGTAAAATTTAGCTACCGGTATTTGATCATAAAGAATGACACCATTACCATATATTATGCCTTGGGGAAAAAAATTAATTTGAGTCCCAATTACTGCATTTTGAGAGAAATGTGAAGAAAATTATGTTGTTAAAGAATCTGAACACATTTTTTATATTTTTATTGATGTACATGTTCTGAATGTTTGTTTGTTTGTTTTTCAGGGCATTTTCTGTGATGGATTCTTCGCGACTCTCCACTTTTGTCATCTCAATATTGCTGATAGTATACGGAAGCTTCAGGTATGTTAATATTTTTGTTAACTTTAAAAGTGCTTTTTTCCATTTAAATAATAATAAAAAAATGAACTTACTTTTATAATTGCATATTTTTAAACGCATGTAAAAATTTATGGTCCTTTACACTAATGATGCTAGAGATATTAAAAATGGTATGAATTACCATACAGAATGTCTGTAATGCTTATTATATTATGACTGTCTCATTGATGATATTTTCAAACTTAGGGGATAACATATTTTTCAAAGTTGTGAGAATTCTGCTCTTTTGCTGGAAGGCATCAGCTGTGATATATGGCTGCCATCTTTTTGTTGTTTTCGTTTTTAGCTGTAGGGAGCCTGCTTAGTTCAGGACTATGAATCTTGTTTTTCTCATCTTATTTAATTTAGCAGAAATATTTTATTTATCCAGAATATTTTTTGTCACTTTGAAATCTTAACAGATGAAGAATAATGATTTCACTACCCAGGCAGTAAATGTTAAAATATGTTAAATGATTGGCCACTCATGTGAAACTAGCAGATGTTACTACATCTATTACCCAGTAGTTCCAGTACAGAGCCCTCTTCAATACCCCCCACCTCCCCACCCTACCCTTTTTAAAGAACAGAAGTGAGACCATAGGTTTCAAGTGAAATAAATCTTTAAAATGAATTATTTTCTAATTATTATTATTTATGCATCAAGTTAGAAAAATAAAAATTTATTGTTAATCTTGGTAGTTTTATTTTTCTTATTAAAGAACAGATGATGAGAACTAGATAAAAAAAAATATATACCATTGAATTAGCAATCTGAAAAGAACAGGATGTCACAAATGTGTTTTCAAACTATAAACACACATTTGTACCAGTTGGCTCTTGGACCAAATGTAGCATGAATTGGCTGGATATTGATGTAAATCTTCATGGACACAGATTGCAAGCTCCCTTCACTGAGCAGTCTATATAGCCAAATGTAACTTCTTAATGGAGTTATCAAAGAAGCAATCAATATCAATTAAGGTTAACCCCCCCCCCCCTCTTATTTTAAAGAACATTATTGAAGTATCCAATATTATGATGATCAGGATGCAATGAAAAGGTCCTACATTAAATTTTTATGCTGGGTTTAATTTGATCATTTCTTGAAAAAAAAAATTAAGGGCAATTTAAAGGCTTCATGCAATAAACTTTAGAGTCATCTAACAAGCAATTTAGGTGCTTTATACATTTCATTACAGATCAATGCATGATGGAGGGACTATAAAGAGTTTATGTCTCATTTTGTCTTGTTTGTAGGTCTGTAAATTTTGAACTGTTTCAGTTTATTGCCTTGTTTTGTAGGTCTTTAAATTTAGAACAAGAGAATAGAGAGAAAGATAAAGAGAAAGACAAGCAGTTTGTGTCTAACAGTGATGGAGACAACAGTAAGTGGACTGTAAAAATTAATTATTGGGCACAAATTTTCATGGTTAGAGAAAAAAGAACTTTTTGTAAAGAGAAAAATTACACTGCAATATGACATGATACGAAATTTTCAGCATTTTGTGGAAAATATGAATATGCCATATTGGTACCTGTCTTCATTACACAAAAACATTAATCTACTATTAACCTCCCTTTCCTCTTGTGAAAATTTTGTGAATGACATTAATTAAACTGATTCTTGTCAACTAGGAATATTCTTGTGCTGCCTTTTTTCTTGGATTATCACAGGGCTGATCACATGGTGTACTGGTTTTGTCAGTCAAGTTTTTGGTCAAAGAATTCATAGTTCAAATCATAGCATATATTTTCGCAAGAACTTGTTTCAATACACAGGGCTTAAAACAAGATCAAGGTCTTTTCATCCATTTATTTGGCATTAGCTTCAAATAGAAAACATGTATTAACATAACATTTCGATTGTTTATATTTGTGGCTGAATTACATGAAATTCTTCATCACAGAAATGGTCACTAGAAAGTCTGTAAGATGTAAAACTTCACAACTTTCTAGGAATGAATTCTGTTAGCCACTTTGGTAACAAAGTTATAATGATGTGCATATGATTGTGTTTTGTTTGAATGCCATTGTAACACAAAATTCTGTTTTGTTTGGCTCGTGTTCAGATGTTTTTCACTTAATGGTTGTATCTTGTAAACTACTGGTGCTAATGTCTTGTAAATAAAGAAAGTGCCCTTTTGAAATAAGGTTCTTTACATGTTACTCATTGTCTTAGACTTAAGTGTAATTAATAGAGGAGGCAAGGTTAGCACATTATGAGTCAATATTTACATTCCTGAGGTATTTTGGTTAAAATTGTGTGGAAAACTTGATAAAACACCATAGCACACACAGATATGTAAAAAAAAAAAAAAAAAAAAAAAAAAACTTTTGATTTCTATAATATGAAAACTGTGCAAGTGCAGCATTATAAGTGAAAATCAAATTCACAGTCACATTGAAGACGTTATGAATGGTAGGAACTGTTAGAAAGGCTCTTCCATTAATTATCACTTATCAAAAGGATAATACATGTACAAGGGTTTTGAAATGTATAAATCATATTTGCAGACAAGATAGTAGGTTTAGATTGAATATAAACATTAAATATAACTATTGTTATTTTTGAAAGCTGTACGTAGCCTCAATACTCCAATGTTGGGTGCAAATAATTTTTTTATAACACATGAATACTGCAATTTTTCTGCACACATGTTACAGTACTGCAGTTATGAGACTACATCTTTCAAAAAGTATAATCAATACCTTAAAAATATTAATACAGTGTTACGTACATAAAAGTAATGAATAATTTTAAATGTGTGTAAACAATATTAAGGTATCTTATACTGACTTATGTGTATAGACAAGTCTTTAGAGAGGGTCTCAAAATGACTACGAATACATTGATCTATAAACTGTTTAAAATGGACCAAAGTTTGCCTCTAGTACCTACATAATGCTTGCAGCAATGGATGTTCATGGCTGTTAAGTTATTGTAATGCAACCCAGTTCTTAAGCTCCTAACATTTTGGATAAATAAATAAATGTCATCAACAATTATGATCATGTCAGCTGTTACATCTTATTGCTGGTACAAATAAGGCATGGATGAATAATTTCTGGATGATGTCTTACTTCATATTGAAAATGTATAGATGTTTGCTTCTGTTTACGTTGATCACTATTTCATTTGATAATCTATAACAGCAGATGGTCTTATAGTGCTTTGAGGGATTAAAGAAATGTAGGTCCTTGAACAGAGAAAAATCTAGTTTAGTCATTTTTTCCATACTTATGTATCTAAAATAGAATGACTTTTGTCAAGTTCATATCTTAATTCAAATGAAAGACCAAGCCTGCTTGGAAGGGGAGATAATCAAGAACAACCAAAATAAAGGGATCGCGAGGTAGATGATCATGCATGGGGCCACAATAAAGGATTAAAGTTTTACAATAAAATAAATAGGAAGAATTACCACCAAATTTGACCTCTTGACCTTGTCCTTGTAATTTGATTTACTTTAAAAAAAAAACCTCAATTTAACCTTGGCCATGAGTTTTGAACAGTTGCAGCTAAGGCTTTCATTTTTCACATGTGCTAATATTCATTAGGACAAGACCTTTCAGCTGATATAAATATTTTTGAACTTGACCTAAAAGTTTGACCCTCTTTTTAAAAACTTTAACCTTGGTCATAACTTTTGAACAGTTAGAAATAGGGCTTTCATATTTCACAGGTGTATTTCTTGTAACATGACTTTCCTTTCGGTACCCACACTTTGACCTTTTGACTTTGACCTTTGGAGTTTAATATGCATTTGAGAGAATTAAACCCTTGCCTTAAGCTGCCATACGGGGGCATCAGTGTTTCACAAACACATTTTATTTATTAAAAAGTTTAAAATACTGAAATTTTCGTAGCTGTCCTTATCATTTTCTACCATTAAAAAAAAATCATAGTCCTTACAACACCTAGCTGCTTGTATTTTCATTTTCGGTTAATTCTTTGCTTTACTTTTAATCTTAATTATTTTTAATTATAAAAAGAAAAAAAATCTCCAGTGCCTAGGAGACAGCCCTTCTACCCTTTCCTTATGATTCTTTTCATTTCTTCCTGCAATTATGATTACTAAAAATTTATTTTTGGTTGTACTAAACCTTGATAAGGAAATAGTATCACTTCAGAGCACATCTGAACTCTGCCTTTTGGTGCTTTCATGACTTGAAGTTCAAAATAAAGTATGTGTAGATTGCATGTAAAGGTAGTGTTGATCTCTTTCCGTAAAGGTCTGGTCTTATACCAGATTCTAAGACTAACAAATCTTATCAGGTCATAGTTCATTTCTTTCTTCTTTTAATCACAATTTTCCTCTAGTTCAGCTAAATTTGGTTACACCAGCATCCAAGACGGTACACCGTGAATAATTTATGGCTGATATTTACAGATTTTCTTTCAGGCTCTTTCTAAGTTTGGGATTAAATTTATGCTTGAGATCAAACCAGTTCCCCCCAATTAATATGGTTGGACAATTTTGCATAGTCTGTCTTAAATCATGAATTGTTTAACCAGATTGGTACATACATGTTGTTAGTTTTAATTATAATTAAAAAAAAAACAGCTAGATATTTGCCATGCCTAATGGTTTATGCAGCATAAATTAAAAATATGAATTTTTAGTTTTCAGTAGATTTTATAACAATTCATCTGCTGACTATTTTGCAGCAAGAAACTCTTATTCATTGATTGCAGTCTGAAGCTAACTTAAATGAATAGTTTGAGTTCCAGAATTCTGTGAACATAATTTTGTATGGTAACATTTTATTGATTTGAGGAGAAAAGAATTTTTTTTTGGGGGGGGGGGGGGGCTTTTGATTTTTTGGTTGCAGAAGTGTAGCATTGAATAATTTTCACATAAAAATTTTGTTAGAAAGTATCCATTATTAAGTTGTTCTCTCTTTACCATGAAAACATTGCCCCCTAATCACCCAAAGGAATGATTTCTTAATATATTATTTTGTATATTAATGTACAAAAATATAATTGCAAGGTTCCAAAACATCTCATTAGACAATTATATAATCTATTGAGTCTGAAAATGAAAAGTCTCCACCCTTTATAAAATTTGAAGATAGGTATATGACAAAGGATCCACATAATATTTATAAGTACACTCTGCTATAAGTATTATATGACTGCCGTCATGAGAAAAGGGCCCTTATCTTTTGACGTCACAATGCTCAGAAAACGACGTCAAAGTCGCGGTATTGTAAAAACGAAAGTAATTTTTGTTGACTGCATTTTGTAAACAAGAAATGAAATTGAATTTCAAAGCGTAACAAAAATTTGAAACTTGATGTGGACATTTTTTAATAGGTATGTGATATATTAACAATTTATTACGTAAATTTATTCATAATTTTGTTTAAGTATTTCACTTGATGTAGATATACGGGACATTAGACAGGCACGTTGCTGGCCATGGAACCGCGATCAAAACGATGTCTATGCATGACTAGATTAAATATGCTGCCTATTTGTTTTCTGAGCAATTTACAAATGCTTAATTGAATTTTGAATTCATGTTAAGAAGTCTTAATATTAAAAGTTATATTCCATATACATGTATATTTCTTTCAGAGAGAGAGAGAGAGAGAGAGAGAGAGAGAGATCTATATATGCATATATAGTAATTACCGTTCTTAAAAGCACTACTTTTTTCTGAAAAATATATACCATAATTTAAAACGTATTAAGCCATTTTAATTTTAATCCATAGTTTATCATACTGATATACCCCGATAATCAGCCTTCAGTGAACAGACGATTTTAATATGTGTGTGAAAAAGGGGGGGGGGGGCAAGCCAAAAAATCACCGAATAAAAATACCGGTTAGAATTAAAGCTAAGAAACATTATCCCTTTTTGATTGAATAAAGATACTGGTAACATATGAGATCCAAACCTTTTACATAAACAATAAATATTTTTTTTTTACTAAATTAACAGTAATAGAATATGCTAAGGGAAAAAATACGGATGATGGGGATGCCACGAAAATTTTGCTAAAATAAATTTTGTTTCAAAAACTAATTTAAAATGATAAAATAAATACATTCAAAAGAATTGTATGGTAGAACTTACTATTGTTTCAAATTTCTGATATTGTTCCAATGAAATGAATGAATGAAATCCCACTGGAACCTATTTTGCAATATGTTAAGAAATTAAATACAGCTATTGTAGACTTTTCCCAAAAGCATTAAACCCAATGTTGAAGAAATTAATAATATTACATCGACAGTGATATTATGAATGAGGATATTTATAAACCAAAAGGGGAAAAAACTATAGCTAAGCAAAAAGACATACGAATTTCTGGATAACGTAAAATACATCACTGAAAGACCAAAGAGTATGTAACAAATTGTTTTGGGTGTGATTTCCACAAGTTATGACAATGTTTAAAATCTTTAAAAACTTTAATGAGTGTGCAATATATATCACTGACTATAAGTAAGTCATATTTTGCGTTGAAATCTTCAACGCTGATACATGTATCAAAATACCCGGCATATCTCGACATTAATTTCTTAAAGTTCCGAGATAAGACTTCATAAGTCTAACATGACTCTTCGAAGAGTAATTAAAAAACAAACACAAAGTTTTCTTCTTTTAAATAAAATTTTGGACTTTACGGTCGCACGCAAGTAGCAACGAAGGTTGGGGGTGTGTACATTGAAAGTACACAACTTTTGTTGCATCATAGTCAAATTTGTGCACTATAGGGCAAAAGAATAAGGCACTGTATAATGCTTGATTAAGAAAATTTGATACTGAAAGAAGACTGAACCTAACCCCCCCCCCCCCCCCCCTCCCCAACGGCGAAACTGGATTCGAGTTTCGACACACACACACACACACACACCCTTTTTTGGTTGAGTAGGGTTTTTTTTAGGTAAAGATTTTTTTTTCCTAACTGAACCCCCCTCTTTTTCAAACGAGTTGTATGGGGACAGGCTAAGGTACGAGTCAAATTGTTTTTTTTTTATTTTGATATGTTTGGTATGTTCTGAAGCGTATGAAGTTATAGCTAGGGAAAATGGCTTGTCTAAATATTTTCAGCGAAAGAGAGTCAAATTACAGCGGTATTATATACTATTACTTAATTAACAGCATCGCCTCATACAAAAAAGCATTAATGAATGTTGGACATAATATTTCATTACTGAATAAGACAATCGCATCGAAATGTGAAAAACTTACAAGGTATCAAGTTAATTGGCCATTGTTACGGAGGAAAATGAACAGATGACCGTTCGTGGCCGTTAAAAAATTGTTATGATTGTTAAGGAAAATCTAGTGGTTAAAAATAGTCAAAATACCCACAACTGAAAAAAAATATAGCTAACATCCCCCCACCCCTACTGAAATGGCTTCCTAAGGGCCTGCCGTTCTTGCGTATAATATTTAGTATTCATTCAGTTTCAAATAGATTTCGTCAAAATTTAGAACAGCACAATTCCCATCTTTTTGATTAATTTATACAATATCATACATAAATCATTTTTAGATCATAGCAGCGGTCCTTGTAAGAATATACAAATGTTGTGTTTAAGTTAAACAGGGTACAGGTGCCACAGAATTTTAAAAAAAAAAAGGTAAATGTGCAGAAATATTTCTAAACGATAAGATTGTGATTTACTTTTTAAAAAATAAGAAGTTAAAAGACGGTTTCAAATTCAAATTGAGGTAATTTAAATTCAAAGAAAGTTTCAATTTAAGGTACGGTATACATGTATAAATCATTCAGATTCATTTGTCCTTTATTAGCCTATTTACTACGTTTCTACTCCATTACTTAGACAGGCGAAGAAAATGAATTGTATAAACAATGGAAACTTATAGCTTTAAACATTTTAAATAAACTATTCCAAAAAAAAAAATGAAAAACAATTTTAAATCTGCTTGCATGGAAGATTGATTGATTTATTGTATATAGTTTAACGTCCCTCTCGAGAATTTTTCACTCATATGGAGACGCCACCACTTGCCGGTGGAGAGCTGCAAATTTTGTCCAATACTAAGCACTTAGGGCTATTGAGCAGGGAGGGATCTTTTTCGTGCCAGCACCTACTGCGACACGGGAACTCAGTTTATAGGTCTCATCTGAAAGACCGGTCTCCACGTCCCACAGTGGGATTCGAACCCGCGACTTAAGGATTAAATCCTGCTTCCTTGCATGGAAGAAGGGAACGTATATTTTTTTCATGAATGTTTATAAAAGGAATAAACTTTTTTAAAAACAAGTTTACATATCTTGGCATATCTGAATTTATTATTTCTCAATTGAATTCTCGGTGATACAGAAAATACATGGTATGTTTTATTATCGTAACTGTTATAGGGAAAAAGTTACGTGCGTGTGTGTTGGTGAGCGAATTCTGTCTCATAAGATTTTTCTTTAATATTGGGATCGATGTGCTTTTTGCGAGGGGTGTCCCGTTTTGCGCGCGGTGTCCTTCTGCATCGGATTCTCTCTCTCTATATATATTTCTTTTAATGTTTAAGTGTTACATGTGCTTTATATTATTTTATAAATTGAATTAAATTATTTTATATAAGAAGAATAATTTGTATGGATATAAACAAATACTATTTTCCTACTGATTATGTTATAAAGCGTTCCTAGATTCTGTCTAGACCCCCCTTTTTTTTTTTTACGGAATTAAGAGATCTGCTCTAAAATTAGAATGAAAATAGTAATAACATACGATATCCCTTAGGAATAGTTAGATACTAGTCGCTTGGAAGAAAAAAAAATAAACAATTTCTTACGTTGCTAATTCTCAAAACGATTGATGTTATTTAAATAACATGTAATTTCAAGATTTTTAGAAAATTGAATTAGACGCAGGCGACGTCATTACGTTTTCACTGAGTAACGTCGAAGTTATTTTTGGAGCGCCTCACTAAAATGCTCATAAAATAGGAAAAAAGTGAGATATTTTCAAAATTTATGTATATTTGCATTCTGAAAGAGTCCGGCTATCAAAATTTACCAAAAAGTCAATTTGTGAAAATTTGACCTTAAGGGCCCTTTTCTCGTGACGGCAGTCATATAATTGTTATTTTTTGCAATTATTAAATTGAAACCATTCAAGTTTAATTTCTATATTTCTAACAAAGGAAATGAAAGAATACAGCACTCATATGACCATTTATTTTAATATTTCCTGCTGATACATGTCTGATTCAAGTAGTTTTTACAGAAGTGTTTAATATTTGTAGAATTACAACTCCTTAAGTTGTGGGAATGGTCAGATTGCAGGTTTAGCATGTCTATATATTTTAGCTTAGTGATCACCAAAACCCTGATTAAAATAGATATAAAAAATTTGATCATACATTAAAGCTTGTCTATTCAGGCAAAAGTGTGTGATGTAAACTTATCCTAAATAAATAAGATGCACTTTTGTATCAGTATCATGCAATATTTTTCTTTCTACTGTCAAATTTTTGTTGTTTATTAGTTTGTAATTTTTTTTAAAAGATATTGTTACCTAGTGTAAACCAACTTCTATTCACGTGCAAGAAATATCCGTAGGCCTGTTTACTCTTATGATTTCACCATATTTTGTACGGAGTTTTAGTTTAAAATACGTCTCACATTTTGCTATCATGAAAATATGGAAATCGGAAATATGTTCATTTGGAATTAGCAGTATGTTTTCATTATCATCTGTCTTCGTTTCACGCTTTTGAATCACTAAAAAAAAGAGAAAGATTTTAAACACTTAAGTGATGTCGAATTGCTAAAACGCTGTGGTATTATAAAATGACAAAGACCGTGTTGTTAAACAAAGTTTTTGTAATCAGGAAAGCAGTTGTTCTCTTTTAAAATATGTAAAATCGATAGACAGTTAAATCTTACTGGTAATTGCCAAATCTCGTGGATGAATCTATTCAAAAATACTGAGAGACGATGATATGGGTAAACAGGTCTGTATCCGTGTGATCTATTTTAACTTGCAAATATTAATTGCTGTGAACTATTTATTTTCCTTTGCATTTATAGAGAATATGCTTTATAAGTTCAATGACTAGATTAATTGGTTTACATACAGTATGCTGTGCGGGTGAGAACAATTTTTGTAAATGTGATTTGTTTACTTTATTGAAGATGTACAGACCATCGACACTTGCCAAGCAGCTTTTCTCCCCATTGGAGCCTCAGCATCTCTTCTCATCATGTTCTTATTCTTTGATTCTCTTCAGATGGTATTTGCCATTTGTACTGCAGGTAAATATCTAGATGACTTTGTTAAACCCCAGTTGTAAGAAGCTAGGTTACTGGTAAAAAAAAATTAAAGACAAATTTTGATAGTTTATAAATTTAAATTAATTAATCAATTTAAGTTATCTGAATTGATGATTCTTTAAATATTAATTTTCAATAAAACAAATTAAAAGAATAGATAGGAATAACGTTTTTTAATATAGCTTAGTGATTGTTTAATCATTAGAATACAAATTAAATTTTGAAAAAAAAAAGATATGAAAATCAGAGAGCTATGATTACCCATCAGTACTTTAGGTACACTGTAACAAATTTTTGCAGAAAATATATGGACAAATATATCTACAGTTTTTGTGTTTTCTGCTTGACCCACAATGATTTGCAAATTATTACTCCTTTAACATTGTGTAAGAGCATTTTCATCATTCTGACCCATTTAATTGGTTTTTTGTTTTGTAGTCTTGGCAACGGTTGCTTTTGCCTTCCTCTTGTTACCCATGTGTCAGTACCTCATACGACCCTGCTCAACAGGGCAAAAGTAAGTCACATCACGTCTAACACTTGTATAAATTTTCTCCTCTTCAATTTGCACAAGTGAAATTTTAATTTTTTTCTCTTATCAAATTTGTAAAGTGTGCTCTTGCTTTTGAGGAAGTTTTAGCAGATAGCTGAGGAATTAGATATTGTGTCTTGATAGATAAGAGGAAATCTTTTTTATTACTTGATTAACAGTTAATTTTATAAAAATAAATCATTGACAAGTGGTCTTCTTCCTGAGCTATTGACACAACAGCTAGATTTGTTTGTTGAAATATGCATTCTTTTCTTTGGATTCTTAGGCCTTAGCAGCTAGACTAAAAAGAATTTGACCCAAGAGTTTTAAGAATGCAAGTTAAAGCAATTGCAGGCTTGTGTATGCAAGTTCATACTGTATTTTGTTTACTGAAATAGGCATGTTAAATGAGGTACTTTCATCATTGTTCATCAATAAGCTAGATACTGTACTAAATGAGTTAAATCATAATATTGTACATGTACATTGAATGGTCTGTAAGACAACTCCTGTTGACATTGTAGGATATCGTTTGGGGTGTGTGGTCGGTTCACGGCAGCTGAGATCTTATCGTTTTTCCTGTCCTTCATGATCGTGTGTATATGGGTGCTGACTGGACACTGGCTACTGATGGACGGTAGGCTTATTGTGTTATTTCTGCAACCAGGATAAGCTCCAGATTTTAAAGCCACTGCTTGAAATTTCACGGAAAATTGACTCAAAACATTAGTAAAAGTTTAATTGAGGATATTTTTATTAAGCTGAGAAAAAGAATAATGATGAAGATTTTAATTATGTATGAATTCTTGCTGTTCTTGTCTGGAAAGGCACATTTTATTTATTTCTTTATTTTCCATTCATATATTTAGCCCTGGGCATGGGGCTGTGTGTTGCCTTTATTGCCCTGGTGAGATTGCCCAGTCTGAAAGTCTCAACCTTGCTGCTTGTAGGCCTTCTGGTGTATGATGTGTTTTGGGTAGGTATAGCATGCAATATCTATACATTAAGGCCAAGTATCATATTGCAAATGTCTCAGAGCTATATTTCGTTTCCTTTCTTATTATTGTATTTCATATTCACAAAATACTGTGAAATCACTGATTTCGTGGGGGATTAATTTTCATGGTTTTCAAGGTATGAAGAGACCCATGAATTTATGTCCACCACGAAATGCATTTTTTCACCTGATATATTTTCTGATCACATTTTGTCCGTCGTCCGTCCGTCCGTCTGTCTGTCCGTCCGTCTGTCCGTCTGTCTGTCCGTCTGTAAACTTTTCACATTTTCGACTTCTTCTCAAGAACCACTGGGCCAATTTTGACCAAACTTGGTACAAAGCATCCTTGGGTGAAGGGGAATTTAAATTGTTAAAATGAAGGGACATATCCCCTCGCAAGGGGAGATATTCAAGAAAAGACAAAAATAGGGTTGGGTCATTAAAAAATCTTCTTCTCAAGAACCACTGGGCCAGTAAAGCTGAAACTTATGTGGAAGCATCCTGGGGTAGTGTAGATTCTAAATTGTTCAAATCATGACCCCCGGGGGAAGGGCGGGGCCACAATGGGAAATCAAAGTTTTACATAGAAATATATAGTAAATATCTTTGAAAATCTTCTTCTCAAGAACCACTGGGCCAGAAAAGCTGAAACTTATGTGGAAGCATCCTGGTATAGTGTAGATTCTAAATTGTTTACATCATGACCCCCAGGGGAAGGGCGGGGCAACAATGGGGAATCAAAGTTTTACATAGAAATATATAGGAAAAATCTTTGAAAATCTTCTTCTCAAGAACCACTGGGCCAGAAAAGCTGAAACTTATGGGGAAGCATCCTGGTATAGTGTAGATTCTAAATTGTTCACATCATGACCCCCGGGGGAAGGGCGGGGCCACAATGGGGAATCAAAGTTTTACATAGATATATATAGGAAAAATCTTTGAAAATCTTCTTCTCAAGAACCACTGGGCCAGAAAAGCTGAAACTTATGTGGAAGCATTCTGGAATAATGTAGATTCTAAATTGTTCAAATAATGACCCCCGGGGGAAGGGCGGGGCCACAATGGGGAATCAAAGTTTAACATAGATATATATAGGAAAAATCTTTGAAAATCTTCTTCTCAAGAACCACTGGGCCAGAAAAGCTGAAACTTATGTGGAAGCATCCTGGTATAATGTAGATTCTAAATTGTTCAAATAATGACCCCCGGGGGAAGGGCGGGGCCACAATGGGGAATCAAAGTTTTATATTGAATATATAGGAAAAATCTTTGAAAATCTTCTTCTCAAGAACCACTGGGCCTTAAAAAGTGAAGCTTATGTGGAAGCATAGTGTAAATTCTAAATAGTAGGAATCATGACCCCCGGGGGAAGGGCAGGGCCATTATAGGGAATCAAAGTTTTACATAGAAATATATAGGAAAAATCTTTGAAAATCTTCTTCTCAGGAACCACTGGGCCAAAAAAGCTGAAACATATGTGCCCATGGAAGGATCATGGGGAAGTGTAGATTTCAAATTGTCTAAATTATGATCAGGGGGGTAGGGTGGGGATGCATTATGTATAACAAGGGGGAAATCTGGTAAAGAACAGAATGGTCAAAGCTTCTCAGGTGAGCGATGTGGCCCATGGGCCTCTTGTTTCACATATATTTCTACTTGACAATTCATCAACCATGAAATCAAATCCCCACGAACTAATATATTTCCCTCAAACCACGAAAATTTGACCTCTCGAAAATATGTGATTTAGGGAATAACTGTCTTCTAATTTGGTATTTGCGACCGTTAATGCTGATTTAACGGTCGCAAACTGAGTTTTACCGGCGACGCGTAAGCAGAGCCGGTAAAATATGTTTGCGACCGTTAAATCAGCATTAACGGTCGCAAATACCAAATTAAAAGATCAGTTATTCCCATTCTAATGCAATTCATGCATTTTGTTTGTTGTTTACGTCTTATTTTGATGAATTTTGGTACATGAAATACGTCACGGAGCATTGTGTTTTGCGTCGCTCTATTATGACGTCACAATGAAAAAGCTTTCACGCTCGTTAATGCTCGTTTTACTGCTTCAAACATCAGTGAATTAGCCAATCAAAAAGTGTTTTACAAAACAATTGCATTAGAATTTACAGTTAGTGAAATCGATAAACTTTAAATCTCCGATTTCACTTTTGCGAATAAATAATTCAATGGATAGATTTGACAACAGGCATGCAATTCCTGTAAATACCCTCTCCATACATTTAAAAATTTGTGAATTCTGATATGATTTATATACTGTTGCTTCAAGTACTTTTGTCACAACAGCTTCAAAAGTCACTTCATATTCGTAACATACTCATAGAAGAATAGATTTTATGGACATTTTATCTTAATTGAGAGAGACAGAAAAATATGAGAGAGAGAGAGAGAGAGAGAATGAAATCTACTTGAGCATTTCTTCAAACTTCTATGACATTGTCCTGTTCGGAATTGTCACACACTTTATTTTTGTGGTCATTTCCTAACGTTACTTCCTGCATCTCTCCGATGGCATCTAAATAAAACACGGTATAAATACTCCGAGTGATTAACAAACCATAAGCACCATGAGTGTGTGGTTTTGTTTAAATCCAATTTCCTTCCCTGCTTCCTAAACATGATTCTATAAGGGCCTTGTGAGTTTTTGGAGTGACATATTCATACATATTGTATTATGTCTCTGTTTCCTTTTCAGGTATTTTTCTCTTCCTACCTCTTCAGTGCAAATGTCATGGTGAAGGTTGCCACAAGACCAGCAGAAAATCCTGTAGGCCATCTTGTTTGGTTTTTGATAAGATCCAATTAAACATAAATTCCTTAAATGCCTAACAAATAATAATATTTTAGAATTATTAATTCTTGTTTATTTACTTACTTGCAATGAATATACATGTACCACTTTTGAAATTGAATGCATGTAGAACTGTGATATTGTAAAAACAGAGAATTTAAAAACAGATTCAAATTTCATAAAAGCATGACACATAGTTTATTTATGCATTTTCAAATTTTGTAAAAATTATGTGATGATAATAAGTCTTTGAACAATTTTAAACTTTTCCATTTGATTAGGTTTGTGTCTCGACAAAAAGACTATGACTAATTTTATATTGGAGACATTAGTAGAAAAATTCTCTTATCTTTTTTTATAGGTGGGACTGTTTGCCAAAAAGCTTCATCTGTCTGGATTTATGAGAGATGCGCCAAAATTATCATTGCCAGGAAAGCTGGTATTTCCAAGGTAAGGCAGCCAGCTGTTTGTGTCTCAAAAAGAGTACTAAAACAATAGGGCTAATTTCACACATCTTCAATTGCTTATATAAAAGAACAACAAAATGAATCACAAAAAAAAATTTCCACATGAATTTTCACCTGATATTCATTGAAGGCACATTTGGCTTTGTATTCAGTGTTTTAGGAGTTGAACTAATAAACTGTATCAATGCAAGTGCACAGGTTTTGTTGCAAAATTACTTGCATGTACAATAATATTGTATTCATGATTTGTTATGTTTATTTATTTTGCAAATCAGATAGATTAAGAAATCTTTGGCAACATCTTCATATTTGTACTACATTCAGTACTTTTTATGGGAAAAAATGTTAACAGATGAAAAGTGTTGTGGTCTGATATTTTCTAAATCTGTTATAATTTTTTTTTTCAGCATTCAAAATTCTAGTCATTTTTCTATGTTGGGCCTAGGAGATATTGTGAGTATACTTTTTAAATATATTCATTACTGATATAAAAAAAAAAAACCAAGCTGTACAAATAAGATAGTTAAAAAAATGTAGTTATAAAAAAATATTTAAAAAAATATTTTACTCTGTGAATTCATTGAAAGCACTAATTAGATAGTCCCAAATCAATTTAAAAGTATACATGTATCGGTATTGAAAAAAAATAAACCTTACTTAGGTGTTTTAAAGGTTTATAAACAATGCTTGCAAAATTTGATGTTAGTAGTGGGGAGACTTGGCATTTTTAAGACCCCAAAAACCCATTTAAAAATTCAGTCTAATTCTCATATTCTGTACATTGTTAGATGTATTTTACAATGTTGTGTCTGTGATTACAGGTTATGCCAGGCCTACTCCTGTGTTTTGTACTACGGTATGATGCCTACAAGAAAACACAGACCAATTCTGTAGAAGCAGGAGTCCCACCCCCACCGACTTACGTCCACAAGGTCACTTACTTCCACTGCTCTCTGATTGGTTATTTCTTAGGTAAGGGGAGGAGCCTGAATAAGGCATTATGATAATGAAAAAATTGTGACAATTGAAAATACTTTAGGCTGAAAATATATAATGAAACCTTGAGAAGGGGACAAAGGAAAAACTCCGAGATGTTTGAGATAATGAAGTCTATAAAATAAATTTGAAAACATTCATGTGACTTTCATCTTAGATATCTGAGAGTTTGAGATATTACATCTTATAAAATAATAAAGAAAAGTTAGATGTGACTTTCATCTCACTTCAACATATCCATGGTATTGGAGACATAGATGATGACACTAATAAAGTCTAATGGAAGGTTAAGTGATTTAAACATGTATATAATAAAAAAAAGAACCTGTACCTGTATTCATATGGAGACAGTATATACCGAAGAACTTCAGTATCTCAAACACTGATATCTTGAAATTACCATGAATATTTCAAAGTGATTTACAAGTCCAGTCACCTATTCTTTATGCATTTTCCCATGGTATCTCAAATACTTGAATATACTGCAGACTGCACACCACATTTTCCTGATTTTTCAGGGTTGCTAACTGCCACAGTTTCATCAGAAGTGTTTAAGGCTGCCCAACCAGCTCTGTTGTATCTTGTACCATTTACACTTCTTCCCTTGTTAACCATGGCATATCTGAAGGTAATGTAGCCAGCTCTAGGATATAAATGTGATCTAACTGCAGCTAATTATCACTTTGAAAAGTTATTCCAATAAATATCCGTATTTTATTTTTTTAGCTTGGACTTTTATTCTAAACTTTTATAGTATTTAAGTAAAAAAAAGGATATGGATGAAAGATCATTCAGTGTTTTCATGTCAAAGCCATTTTTCAATGCATCTTTTCTTCATGGATACTGCAGTATTCTAAAACAACTAACTTTTTTTTTTATTCATTTGTAGGGAGATCTTAGAAGAATGTGGAGTGAACCATTCATTGTTCAACAGACTCATAAAAACATAGATGTATGATAAACAGTGTTGTGCAAATATTTTTTACCCTGGATTAACATTAAACAAGACTATGTTATCAAAGAGGGACAACACATTACAGTGCATTCTTGGAGGAGGGATTTCCATTGATTTACAATTAGGAAATTTTCCTCGTGTGAGAAATGCATATGCAGGAAAGACTGCAATTCATTGCAATGTTTTTGTAATGTCAGACCACAATGTATTTTTATACCACTAGGTATTTTCTCTTGAATGGAGACTTTTCATTGGCCAGTCATTTGACAGTGGTTTTTAACATATTTATCATGGTCCGATTTTTAACTTGGAGGTTTCAGGATATTATGTATTTGGAATAATACAGAAAAATGTACATTGTTGTTTAATGTAACCTGTGTGTTTAATCATGATTCTTGTAAAATGACTTTGCATCCATGGCATATAAGAGAAATTTGTGTGTGACTGAACTGTAGCACAAATTAAGCATTATTTTATATCTTTGAAAACAGAGCTGGAGCTCTATTTTTTTATAATATCATCTTGGAATAATTTTCATTTTCATTTCTGTTTCCTTATGAGAAAGAAATTGATATTGAAAAAGATTTCATTACCCATCAAATTCATTGATTGAAGTTACGCATACATGTACATGCATTGATCAACTTGTTATATTTGTTGAATGGGAAAAAAATTCATATTTGACAAATAAACTTAATACGTACATTTTATAAAGGCAATTAAAGCAAGCAACAAAGACATCTAGCCAAGTTTTATCTGTAGTGCTTCCATCACCTTGTTGCTTTATTTTATTTTTAATTTTTCATGCATACAAGATGAACAGATAGAATATTTTAATTTAGAAGTATCAGATATTTTTTATTTTATCTAGTAAAATGGTTGATGGTGTAAAGACTATGTTACCATGTAAAAAAAAAATGTTTGCTTTATTGTCATTGTGATCATAATAGATATTAAATGTTGTATAAATAATGATGATTTATTTTTGTATTCTTTGATTATATTATACAGGCATAGCCATTATTCATTTATGTTTATATGGCAAAAATATTTGAAAAATCAAATGGTTTACGCTGAGTAACAAAAATGACATTTGGGTGGTGGGAGTCTCTTATGGGGAAAAGCTATGGTGCAATAATTTTAGTGGTTTTGTTTTAGACCATGATTTTGAAATTCACACTATTCTCTCCCATATACTTAAGGAGATAATCAATTAACCCTATATTAATTTGACAGACAGATAATTTATTTATTACACAGATATTAATAAATTTTGTCCCTGCTTTACCCATTGGCTCGTACTCTGACTCGGTTCTCTTTGACTTGAGTAATGATCCCAAATGACACTAAGAAGGAGTTGTATATTTTTTCTCTGCATCCTCGATTTCTTCCATAGGAATTTTAGGTAATGAATCTTCATCTATTTCATCATAATACATGTACTCCGAGTCTGTATATTCTGAGATTGTTTTGTTAAGAAGCCATTGTTTATGTGCCTCAAGCAGCAATTTCTTGGTTGGATCTACATGTAGGCCTTTTAATTTTTTTTGTGTTGTGTTTATGCTGTAGCCATGTTCATCTGATGCAAAAGAAGTTGATAATAAGGTCCCAAACAGTTTATTTAGTTTTTCTCCAGGGATTTTTCCTGGTGTAAATTTGGGTAAAGATGGTACAATTTTGTTTGGAAGATTTCTGTAATTGTTTACATTGAATGTGACACTGAATAGTTCTGACAAGTCATTCGAGTCCATAGCAGTCTCCATTGAATCAATTTCATCCTTGATATCTGATATTTTCTTGTTTATCTCATCCAGATGATTTTGTAGAGTTTGTAATTGTGTATTTTTCATCTCTTCAACTTCAGCTTTAAATTTCTTGACAAGTTTGTCAATTTCTCTGTGCCAGTCCTCTCCATGTTTTGTTATGGCTGTTGAGAGATCTCCATATTCCTTTTCTAACTGACTCATTCTGTTTTGTACATCAGAAGCTATGTCCTGATAGGTTGGATAAATTGTATCATTTAATTTCTTCCTTTCTTTTTTAATCAATTTCATTTTTTCATCACGGACATGCAAGATTTTAGATAATTCATGACCTCTATGTTCACTAGATTCAAGACAATTGATGCAGAGAGGAATATTGCATTGTTTACAGAACATTTTACATCGTTCTTTACTATGAGATGTACATCCAGGGTAGTGGGGAGTGGACTTTCTGTCTTCATAAGTGACGACTTTGTGACTTTTTGATCGATCAGATATCACATGTTCTCCCACACAAGCCTTACAAAGGTTGACAAGACACGTATCACAGTGCATCTGTACCACAGCGGTCTCACACAGGTCACATCGCATCACATCCTGGGCACTGGTACGGGGGTCCATGATTAGGTATTGTGACTGAAGGATAAAATTCAACACATAATGGCAATTTCATTGACTTGATATGAGGACAAAAAGTTTTTAGGATCAAATAACCACATTGTATACCTGAAGCAATCAAGCAGCTTTGCAGATATAACATGTAGATACCAGGTAGTCAATTCATCATATACATCATGCATTCACTGAATCTTTGTGTCAAAATTAAAATTTTATTCCCCATAATTTATGCATTTTGGAAATTTCTTGACCATTTTCAAATGTACAGAAATGCTAATAGGTTACTTCTATTAATTAATTTCTTACCTGCATGGCTTCAGTTATACAATGTTTGTCCTGTTGATCATCTAAGTACAAACTATGATCACATGTCTTAGTATGTGTTATCTGTTACATTAAAACTTTGGACTTTATCAAGTTTAACTTATCTATAAAGTAATTTAATCTGGTTAAGTCTAAATTACACGTAGTCCTGGTCTAGAGGGTGTATATGTTACAGTAAATATGTGAAATCAGGAAATTCATGTATTTCCTTAACCATTCAGGAAATACATGTATTTACTGGCCATTTTAGAAAATACGTGTAATTACTGAATTGCTAGGAAATTCATGTATTTTCTGAAAATTTTAGCCAATTTTACACGTTTTTACTGAACTAAACTGGATGAATACTTTATACATATCCTTAAAAAAATTCCATAGGTATACAAATACTAAAATTCTTTTTTTTAAAGCAGCATTTGATAAGAACTTTCTACAAATCTGATGTTATGCATTAATTTGAACTGCTAATGTTTAATAGATTCCCTGATATTCAAATACATTTGTAAAGATGTTATTTGGAGCTTTAATATCATTGTGATTTATTTGAACTAGTTTATACATAATTGTCCCCCGCTTTTGCGAAAGTGAGGGGACATTAAATCTCATTCGTCTGTCCGTCCGTCCGTCACAAAAACTTTAACCTTGCCCATAACTTTTGATTTAGTGGAGCTATGGTTTTCATATTTCATATGTGTATTTCTTGTGATAAGACCTTTCTTTGGGTACCACCAAATTTGACCTTTTGACCTTGACCTTGGAGTTTGACCAACTTTTACTAAAAAATTCCAAACTTTTACTTTGGCCATAACTTTTGAATGATAGGTACTAGGACTTTCATATTTCACATATTTATTCTTTGTGACAAGACCTTTTATTGGATACCAACAACTTTGACCTTTTGACCTTGACCTTGGAAATTTACGTACTTATGAAAAAAACTATAACCTTGACCATAATTTTTGAACGGTAAGAGCTATGGCTTTTATACTTCACATAAATTATTTTTGTAAGAAGACCTTTCATTGGATACCAAGAACTTGGACCTTTTAACCTTGACCTTGGAGTTTTAACTACTTTTTAAAAATTATAACCTTGGTCACAACTTTTGAACAGTAGATACAAGGACTTTTATATTTCATATATGTATTCTTTGTGACAAGACCTTTCATTGGATACCAACAACTTTGACCTTTTGACCTTGACCTTGGAGATTTACGTACTTCTGAAAAAACACCGACCTTGACCATAACTTTTAAACGGTAAGGGCTAGGGCTTTCGTACTTCACATATGTAATCCTTGTGAAAAGACCTTTTTTTTGCATACCAAGAACTTTGACCCTTTGACCTTGGAGTTTTAACTACTTTTTAAAAACTTTAACCTTGGTCACAACTTTTAAACGGTAGAAACTAGGACTTTCATATTTTAGCAAGACCTTTCATGGGATACCAAAAACTTTTACCTATTGACCTTGACCCTAAAAAATTGATATCTCGCCCACAAAGACACCGAAAGCGGGGGACCACAATTCTTTGAATTTGCTTGTTTTTATTCTAAAATGTATCAAAAATGTACGATTTTTAGATGTTGATATACTCGGTACTTCTATTTACTTGAGTTTTACATCTTTACAATTATGGTAACATAGATATGTTTTGCAATTATTGGTTAATTCAAATTTATTAAGCAAAAATTATATTTTGAACTATTAAAATACGAGGGTGGAAAATTCCTTTTAGTGAAGTTTCATCTTGAATTACTGATTTCTTCAATATCGTTAAATAATGTGTATTTTGCAAGATTTTTCTGTTGCATTTTTGAGGAGACCGTATAAGAATTGTTTTATTTGCAAATAAGATGCTTTAGAGTTTATTTATTGTTAATAATTGTAGCATTAACTGTATGAATATCTAATAATAAAAAATGCCAGTAAGCGATTTTAGTGTTTTAGATTAAATAACTGAAAGTTAGTAAAAGTATGTTGTGATATAGAAAACACATTCCAAACAATGAAAGCAAAACAATATCATTAAGTTTTTGGGGTTAATATTTACAAATAATGCAATTTTTAAAATTTGTAAATAATCAAAAATATTATTTAATCACATATGATAATTATGCTAACTGATATCAACATTAAATGCATCTGTGCATCTGTTTATATCTTATGATTCATATTTAACATTATCCCATCAAAATACAGTCAGTAAATAGGTGTAAAAAGTATTGAAAAGTTCAGTAAATACGTGTATTTCCTAACTGAAATTAGTAAATACGTGTATTCTTTGAGCAGAATAGGAATTTCATGTATTTCCTAAAATTCAGGAAATACATGAAATTCCTGATTACACATATTTACTGTAACATATATACCTGAAAAAAAAAATTCTTGGCAGGACTGCCACAGGACAGAAAAGCTCACTTATAGCTTTCAGCTTAAAGGTGAGCTAAAAAAAATCCCTGCCATATTAAACTTGAGAAAACTTTTTGACTGACTTCAAACTTACAACTTTAATGATGGTAAAGACAGGCTGCACTATCCCCCCCAAAAAATTCAAATTATTAAAGATTTAATTATGCTCCCTTTGAAGTCGGTCCACCATCAGTTTTTGTTCATTTTCTTCGCAGAGGTTAAGAATATTGAGGACAAGTTCTCTTTCGGGTACAATCGAGCCATTTTGGAAAGAATTGGGCCCCTTGGACAAGAAAAATTCTAATTATTTTGGGGAGGGGGCTTAATCAGCAAGGACAAGCTGTTCATTGATGTTGCTTATTATAAGGAAATCAAACATAATAGGAGAGACATGCATTTTTATAGGTCACCTGAGTATTGTGTAACAACTTTCAAACAATTAAATTGGTTCGTGTTTTAAACCAGAGGCCATGAAATTCATGATTCACAATTTTGAAAGAGGCATTATTGCTTATCATAATTATTTAGTTAGCATGCTTACTTTATTTACTTAATACCCAGAGGTAGATCAGAGTAACAAAGAGAAATGCACTTCCACTCTATACCCAGTTGTGCACCTCACCCCAAAGGAACCACTGACCCAGGGTTTTGCAAATTTTATCATAAAATGGTTGATTAATACCAAAGAGTAGATTTCAAAGCATTAATTTATTTTCAGACTTTATAACACCCCCCCCTCCTTTGACCCAGTGGGCATAAAAAAACCACTGCTAGATGCACCTTTCTTCATCATAAATATATTTGGATCATTGGCATAAAACCCAGAAGCAAAGGAAAATATTTTCTAAGAAATAATGCATTTTTACTATATAATCAATAGAGCCCCGTCCTAACACCAGAACCCCTGACCCTGAGGCCATAAAATTCACAATTTTCGAAGAGGCACTCTTACTCACCATAACGATGTACTTAATTAGTTTATTTAATACCAAGAAGCAGAGAAGAAGATTTTCAAAGAATTAATGCATTTTCACTATATAATCAATACAGCCCCATCCTAACACAAGAACCCCTGACCCTGGGGCAAAAAAATTCACAATTTTGGATGAGGCACTCTTGCTCATCATAACTTTGTACTTAGTTAGTTTATTTAATATCCAGGAGCAGAGAAGAAGATTTTCAAAGAAATAACGCATTTTCACTATATAATCTATATAGACCCGCCCTAGCACTAGAACCCCTGACCCTGGGGCCATGAATTTCACAATTTTGGTAGATGACTCAATGCTCATTACATTCATGCCAACAGTATGCCTGCTTGATGTCCAGGAGTAAAGAAGAAGATTTTTAAAGATTGCAATAATTTTAGTGGTTTTGACCCCCACCTCTCAGGCCCCAGGAGGGCGGGGACCATGAAATTCATAATTATTGTTCCCCTTCACCCATAGATGTTGTATACCAAATTTGTATGAAATTGGTTCAGTGGTTTCAGAGAAGAAGCTGAAAATGTTCGAATGTTAACACACGACGCACGATGGATGACGACAGACAACAACGGATAGCAATAGGTCACCTGAGTTACTCAGGTGACCTAAAAAAAAAACAAACAATACCCACTTATTTTGCATTGAATTTATTTTTTCTTCAGCACTAACAACTCTAATCTAACAAGACACTTAAACAGATTTCTCAGCTCTTCTACTGCTTTTTCTACAATGACTGGAATTTCTCTTGCAACTGTTGCCTAAAATAAAATTATATACAACTGTAATCATATATTAGGCAATATGTATCTACAATAAAACTTGCCAATAATGAAGTGCCAAATATTGATGATTTGAGCTTTGATAGTATCAGACTTCATAATACATGTATCCCATAAGTTCACAATATGTCTGTAAGCCATGCGGAATGAAAACTATTTCCTTGTAAGTGTCAATTAATAATCAGTATGTTCGCTATAAGCATGTTTTACTGAAAAAAATTTTTACTTTAAAAAGTAAAATTTATTTTTTGCTAATTTGTAGAATATTTTGAGACCATATAGAGGATACAACAATAATTTCCTTGAAATTAGTGATGGGAATCGGTAAAATTTTCATAATCGATGATTGGGTTACTCTAAGTAACTAATTATCGATTATAATCGGACATCTAAAAAGTATATCAATTTAAACAAGTATTGTAAATGGTAAGAATGGGTAAATGACTACTTTCTGTGGTGATCCAGCTGGTCAGTTCATCTAGTAGAACCCCAAGTACGCCCATGCCCAGAAACATGCTTTGTTGTCAGGGTAGAAATACAAGAGTTTGTTTAACTGCACCATTACGTTACACAAATAAGTCAAAAGCAATGCTGTAGATGGAAAATTAGGGTTAAAAATTATTATGCTTGTAAAATAAAATAATAAACCGATTAATCAGAATTTTAAAAATGCAACTGATTGCTTGGACAATGTCAGCAATCGACTGATTTTCGATTATAATCGATGATTGAAACACCACTACTTGGAATAGCATTAGAATTGATGATGAACATTTCACATTGAAATATTATATCCTCCAGATCTTCAAAAAAATCACTCCACTCACCACAAGAAACTTGTTAGCACACTCAATGTTCATGACGACATCTAATCTGTCCGCCTCCCAGTCCCACCTCCAGAGTTTAATTTGCTGAAAAATGAAAATCCTAAATATCATATTTGCTAAAAACAAAATTCTAAATATTACATTTCAGGGAGAGATAAGGGGAAAAGTAGGGACAGTGAAGATTGGATGTGGAGCAAAATTGACGTTTCAACTTGACAGATTTCAACGTGATTTGCAATGGAATATTTATCCTATGAAGAGTTATCCCTCTTTTCATATCATCATTGGACCTTAAAATCTTCAAAACATATGACATTATGAGCTACCACATGGAGCAGTTTCCTTTCTTTGTTGCTTCCAACCAAGAACCAAAGATTGATATTCTTAGTCATTTTCAAGTTAAGTGAAAGTGAATTTAAATACTAACAGGGTGTAGTTCATAAACAGGAAATTTGACAAAGTCCATCATTTTCTCCCAGACAATGTTTTCTGCCAGTTTGTAGGGTGACTCATCTGTTAACACTGAGCTGTGGTACAGCCAATCTCCTGGTTTGGCACAAGAAAACATATAGTCCTACAAAATTAATACAAATTACTTATTTATAGGTAAACAATTTTAATGAACTTACTTGAACATTAGACTACTATACAAAACAAAAGTAACCAAAGATTGCAAAGCATGCCTCAACAAACATATTCCTGGAGAGAAAAGTTTTATTTACTTAAACGCATTAACAGCACTGTATCTTTTATTATCACTATGCTTTAAATAGTTTCTCATTTTAGAAAAAAAGCATCTAAAGCAAATGTCAGACTTCCTCCTTAACTTTATTGATGCTGCATTCTTAATATGAGCATTAGTAAGCATCTGAGCACACCTGCAAGATTGATCACCACATGAGGCTCAAGCTAGTTGGTAATGGTCCTAATCCAGAGGATTGGTCACTCAGTTACAAAATAAATGCCACATGTAACATCCAATGCAAGTCTGAGATTTTTCATTTCTTGGTGCATCAGCCACTTAAGATTGATTCAGCTACATTTATAGTTACTTGGGAATGGACCTCTTCCCAAAACTTGGACTTGGTAACTCATCCAGAAAATGTGTCAGATGCATTCTCTGTTTAAGCTTGTTAGATACAATGTCCATACAAGTGTGGCGGGCAGCCGGGTTCAATCGCCAGTGGCCAAGTAGCTCAAAGATAGAACACCTGACCGGAGTTTCAGGGGGCCCAGGTTCAAATCCCAGTCTGGTCTGCTGCATTTTCTTCCTTTCCGGTTACACAAGTTTGGCCCATGTTAGGCTTAAAGTTACACGACTTCACTGAGGTTAGCCACAAATTGCATATTTTAAGTTCATCAATTTTAATGAAACAAGATAATCATTCATGACAATCAAAAAAAAATTCACATATTTAAAAACAGAATTCACTATAGTTTAATTTAAAAATCCTCACCCTCAAATCATCAACACCATCATCCTTCAGGGCAGACACCATGAAAATTTCCTTGAAATTTGACCAGCCGGTTTTCTGCACAGCAGTCTCTGGACAAGTTTTTAATCTCTCTATGTACTTCCTGAATTCCAAATCCTCATCTGAGGACACGTCTTGGTCCTCACCCCACTCCTCATTAGAGCCCTCAACACCTGTGTCCTCCAAGGGGCTGGAGGACTGTCCACTGCTCCCTTTAGAAGCTTTGTATTTTTCAATCACTGAGTCCACGAAGTCTTCCTGTTGTTCTCTCCTTCTCAGTTTGTGTGTTCTCTTGTCCATCCATAAGGGTATTTTCTTTTCATCTAACTCTTTATTTGTCAGGGAGATGACTGTGTTCAGGAGACCTTTCTTGTTCACTACAGAATCAACCTATATTTTGAAAGTACAGCATCAAAATTTTTCATATTACACCTGCATGAATATAACTTCATTAAAATTTTGCTAACCATGCAATAGCAGAACTTTTAAGAACACTTAAAAAAAAAACAGTTGTCCTGAGTTCGCATACTCTTCTTGACAATCGTGCACATAGATAAATGAAATCTCTCATTTACTGTGTTTCTCCAAATTCAAGTCCATGATTTCAACCCTATTTGTTTGCAATATAATGTATGTTAATATACTTGCCTTGTTTAGGATCAGTATTGTTGGAGTGTTTCTATGGAGATGAAGTATTCTCATCACTGTTTTACTGAGCGTATTTCTACGGAACTTATCCTTGACATCTACTACAACTCCCACTAAAAATGTCCAAAGGATAAAAACATTAACATTAACATGACTGAAAACTTCAGATGGCTACAATTACAATCGCATCTGATTTAAAGCTGCATTCCAGGAATTACCAAAGTGGTTGGTTACAGTAATTAAACATGTATTTACATCTTTTTTATATCTATGTAATATTTCATTATTCTTATATTACATAGTGACAAATAATTGATGTTGTTTCAGCATGTATATTTACTTTATTTGGTATTTCTAAAGATAAAGTAACTGCCTTTGAAAATGAAGTTTTGGATAAAACTTATCATTATTTAATCATTAATATGTAGAGCCTCATTTTCCATACCATCCTTTACTTACAAAGGTCGACATTATCAGCAGCCTTGTCGGGATCCAATACAAGGGATGATGGGACATGATGTCTAAATCAGACAAATATACAAAGTCTATGATTTAATATAAAACAATTGCTGTATCTATTTTCTTTATAATTCTGGTCTTGTATCCTCTTAAAATGCCCCTTACATTCAAAAAGTAAGCAGACATAAATTGTTGTTACCCACATACAAATGCAGTTGAACTTTCTTATTTCCAATACATGGAATATGTTAAACTGAGTTGGCTTTCCCAACCACTTAATATTTTTGTTTTTTACCTTGATTACCTTGAATTATCAGATATCTCAAAATTTAATCTGGATCCTCTCCAGATTGAGATAATGAGGTTTGACTGTACTTTTGTAGTAAAACAAAGAACAAAACAAAATTCAGTTTAAATTTTTTTTCAGTGAACCATATCATTACCTTGCTTTTGTTTTAGGGTTTAAAACTCCTGGTGTATCCACAAACATCTACAAAGAATGAAAAAAAAGCCACATGATTATTCCCCTTGAGTATGAGGCTTAAAGACATAGCTTTTCAACCAATATAGAATACAAGCACACTGAAATTTTTGCTTTGTTCTGGACACCAGGAGCAGAGATTCCACTTACTATCTGGTATTCATCTTTTGTCAGGACCAGAAGGGTATTTTTTCTTGTGGTGTTTATCTTTTTTGAAACTGGAAGGATCTGAGAATCAAAAAACAAAAAAACTTAAAACTACACATTTCAAACAACTAAGTTTATTGAATGTTTACATAATGATTTACAAAAGCAACAAATAAAACAAGACATATAAAAAAATGATCTAAAGTCAATTTATGTTCACTCTCAAATAATTTATACTTGTGCTTTTAGTCTTTCCAAAACTAAAACTAGTAAGCCCTTATTTCCTACATTAGTATTTTGGTCTGTTCCTTACCTTATGTTGTAACAATCTGTTGATAAGAGTTGACTTTCCTACATTGGGGTCACCAATAATTGCCATCCGCAGAATTTTAGAATTATCTGGTTGATTTGGTGGCAGTGTAATCTTCATGAGTTGTTCCTCTGTGGTTGAAAGATAATATCAGTTTATACAAATACACTGAAACAATATTTACATTTTCATTGCAGGAACTAATCTGGTAATTTTCTTAAAATTTTCATAACAGGGTTATCCTTAAGACCCGGGGCCAGGGGATTTTCCCTCGCTATAATGATATAATCCCCCCGTTCTTCTGGTATTCCCCCTGAACAGTGAACCTCTTGTTAGGGAAGATATTCCAGACCCCCTTCAACTTTTTCAAGTTAACAATGTACACACAACACATTGCTATTTCAAATTTATGCGACAACCCTTCATAAACAATGAAAATATATAAGCAGAGTTTTGCAAAAAAAAAAAAAACAACTCAATATGTCAATACATATCATGATGCTGACATATGAACTCTCATCATACAATGTTCAAATACAAAGTTAATAAGAAAACTTTTAAAATCTCTTAAAACAAGAGGCCTGTGGGAAACGATGCTCACCTGAAGAATTTTAAAAGCTTAGCTATTCTACAGATTTTCATGTATCAAAAAAACTAATATGACCAACATTATGACAAATCTCTAAGAGATCTCTGCAGCAACGCAACATGGTCATACTTCATTATTCATATATTTACAACTGTAACATGGACTATCCGACTAGTCTTACAATTGTGGTCTGGATAAGAATAATCAATTCTTGTTTATTTGCATTATGTAAATTTTGATCCTGAATTTAGCTAATTGTATCATGGAGTGCACAATTTGCAGAATGAAAACTAAACCCCAAACAAACTGGGAATGCTTGCAAATTAGTGTTTCCACTGTGGTTTACTCCGAAGATTTTTTTTCTTCTTAGTACAATGTAAAACTTTGATTCCCTATTGCAGTAGCGGTCCCACCCTACGGTACCATTGGGACCATAAGGAGAGGATGTTCTAAGAACTTGTGTCCAATCCTTTTGTTGTAACATCTAAACAATAAAATATGTTCAAATCAACCATTGGGACCATATTTGATGAAAATACAATCTACACTACCTCAGGATGCTTTCAGATAAGTTTCATCTTTTAAGATCTATTGGGTCTTGAAAAGAAGGTTTTTATAGACCTTCTCAATATATTTTCCTGTAAATCTTTAATTCCCTATTGTGGGTTTGTGGCCTCATCCTAAGCTATCCATCATGAATTATACAATAAAATGACACTCTTTTCAGTTTTAACATCAATCCTTGTGTACTCTATTACTTGCCTGGTGTAAAACATATCCGTCTATCTTCAGGGTGGAATTCTGGAAACTTTTGAGCTGTTCCAAAATAATCAGATTCTTTGCCATGGTACACATGCTTAGTACTATACCACTGTATTTGAAATCTCTGATAGTTGAGAATCAACTTTAAATGACTCCATGACAACTCTGAAAATATATCACATGTATTTTAAATACCTCAAGATGAAAACTAAAAATAAGACTTGAACTTGTTATAAGGACTAAACAATAGAATTTTCATTAGTTAGAATAATCTAACTGTACCGGGTCCGTAGGACATTTATCATTTTAATGATAGAACATTCTATCTCACTTTTCATATGAAAATAACAATAAAAATGTTAAAAACAAGTATAAAAAATGAAATAAAAGTACAAATCTTCAATATTTTCTAAATATACTGATGTAAGAAACTTGTTTCAATGTTTGTTCGAATTTACTCGATCAGTTCTCATATTTGTGTATTTGATCTAAGAACTATTAATGTATCAAATTAAAATGAGACATAAACACTCTAACTTAGTTATTTTTCTATTTTTTTCTGTTTCTATGGCATCTATACTGTGTAAAGTAGCTTACTTTTGTTTAATTTCATCGCGCATCTTGCTGACATGGGCGCAGCCATCTTTAAATTAGAGTTAACTCGTTCACATTCCTTTCGTTGTTCACGAATCCGATCCCGACCTTATTTTGTAAATGGTAGCGCATTATCATAATTTTTCAGCTTTCGTGTATAGATATGAATTTAATTGAACACATTTTACTGTAATATAATTGGATTGGGCACAAGTTTTTAAAACTTATTGTGCTCTCTCCATACATGCCAACTTTTGAAAATTCCCATGGGGGATTTTGCGTGTGACGACATTAAAAATAAAAATTTGTAATATTTTTTATCACTTAATATTATGGAATGCCATATACGACAGCCAACTGCTTACTGTCAACTGCTGACTGCTTACTGCCAACTGTCAGCTGCTTACTGCTAACTGCCGCACAAAATTGAATAAATTTTATTTTTATATTGATATTTATGTGAATTTTCACCAAAAATTAAAAAAAAAATCACCAAAAATAAATAAATAAAAAAAAACAGGCACGGATCTAGGACATTTTTTCCAAGAGGGTCACTCTGGTAAAAAAAAATCCAGCCCAGAAATTTTATGACAGGAAAAAAAAAAGTAAAGTCCTTTCCTAAGGGTAAACATTTATGTCGGCCGGGGAGAGGGGGTTATTATGCGTCGTACCTTCATGTCTATGACATTTTTTATACCAACAACACAAATTCGCGTTTTCAGGGGGGGGGGGTTGTAAGGTCCCTTTTAGTTGATTTAATTTAAACAATAAATATCTTTTGGTTGTTTTAGTATGCATTAAATAACTTTAAAATTTTCAGAGGGGTGGTCCGGACCCCTCTCTCTAGGTCTAGGATGTAAAACAGGGGCCCGTTTTAAGACCAAATTTAATTCTTCATACAACTTTTAAATTAATTTTATATCGAAAATTGTGGTAAGATATTTTTACACAAACAAATTCAAAGATAATTATTTATTTTGCAAAATTTTACAATCATCTGAAGTTTTTTGGTCTTAGTCGTAAGTTCTTTTGTAAAACGGGCCCCAGATCTTATTTGTAAAAACAAAGAGATATAAATGCTTTCTAAATGGAGGGTCCAAGGTCAGTTTTAGTTCGTTTAGTTTATACATTAACCCATGACTGTACAAATTTTAACACCCCCCCCCCCCGAAGATCCATGCATTTGAAACTTTATAACACACCGCGGTATTTTTCTTTTGGGGAAATTTTCAACTATAGAATACACTGGAAAATGTATATTTATTTTCAAAACATCTTTCTCTGCGAAAAGACAATTCTTTTTTTTTTCTCTCTCTCTCTTCAAATGTTTTGTTGTCTCCGGGGGGGGGGGGGGGGGGGGGGGGGGGGGGGGGGGGAGATACTTCTTTAAAGATTAAAAGCAGAAAATAATCATTTTATTATACCTGTTTCAAATAAGAAAACAAATTTTAAAAAATAAACATTTGTACTTTATTAATCGCATATATTGAATATTACGTAAGATAAAACACATTGGTTATTAAATCAATTTAATTTTACAAGGATAACCCTCTTGAAAAAAAAAGAAAAATGTCCTGGATCCGCGCCTGTTTTTTTTTTTTTTTTTTCTTCTCTTTTTTAGATTCATATGAATATCAATATAAATATCAAATTTATTCAAATATGTGTGGCAGTTAGCAGTAAGCAGCGGACAGTTGGCAGTAAGCAGTCAGCAGTTGGCAGTAAGCAGTTGACTGTCGTATATGGCATTCCATATAATACAGCATAAGGATAAAAATAACAAAAACAAATTTAAGTTTTTTTTCCATTTTGGATAATTTGACAAAGACACATATATAATTCGTGAAAAATTGAAAATTGTACAACTTTTAAATCATTTTTTTCCCCAAAAGTTAAGAAATATTACATGAGGTTTTGATACTGTCAATTTTCTGGGAAACATTTTCAAGATATTCTCATCGTGTCTTATGTGTTGATCAAGTAAACAAATTTGAAGTCAAGTTTAGTATTAAAACAAGAGCCTATCAAATGGCCACCTATGTAACATTTCAGCCAAGCACAGGGGCTTGTCACGAAATATTTATCTTCTTTTAATATTGCTAAGTAGTAAATAATGTCAAACAGATTTTTTAGTTTCCTATATAATGACTCATAAAAGGGAAAAAATTTTAATAATATACAGTGTATATTTTTTCCAATATTTTTTTTTATATATAAAATCAAGTTTTACAACCTTCATAAGCTACTTCAACGGCGAGAAATAAAGTAATTATTGTCTGGTCCATAACTGACAAAAAATTGTACATCACTCCCACCTTACATTACGCATACACAGAAAACATGAACAAATGATTAAATTTCGTCTCCTGTCCAGACGTGGAATGTTGGTAAAGACGAATTTTCAATCTTTATCACAGAATTTAACTTTCCATACTCCATTTCAATATCGTTTACAAGATTTACGCTTTAAAGGGACATGGACATAGTTTCAGCTAAAGATGTTTTAAAATTATTTTTACATTGTTTATGTTTACAAATATTTAACTAAGGTATTTCTAATGATCATCAAAAATTTGAATTTCAGTTGTCGAGATACAGGACCAATTTAGAGCTCGATCCAAATTTTGTGTTGTAAACAGGGTCCTTGCCATGTTTTTATTTGCATAGGTAAAATGTCCTTACGTGTGTTCGTTCAAAGCAGATTTTTTTTCTTCAATAAGTTAAATGAGAAAAGACAGTTTCTATTGATTTGCTGAATCCTGTTTTGTTATAAATATGATACTTTTCTATATGTAAATGAAAACAAGACACGAGCCTTGATCAGATTATGAAGAATTTTAAGTTCTGTATCTTCTTTGTAAATCAACAAATGATGTAAGTCAAGAAATGATGTTCAGATTTTTGCTGATCATTCGATTGGCCTTAGTAAGGAATTGTAAACATTAAAATTGTTTTTGTTTAAATCAGTTGAAACTGTGTCCATGTCACTTTAATTAAAAGTCAGGTGACCTTGACATTGACGAAAATTATACACTTTCAGACCCGTAGGAAGCAATTTAAGTTCGAAGGTTGGACACACGGCCATATATTTTCAGGTGGGGCACTATCAACTACAAAATAAATTCCTTGACAAGCAAAAAAAAAAAACATCAGGCGTTTTCATTGAGAGGACAAAGTAGTAGGTATGTTTTCCATAGTAGTACTACATTTTTTCTGTAGTATACTGTATGTTTTCTATAGTATACTATAGTATCGGCAAAATTATTGGTGCACGCCCCCTACCCCCGGCTCCTATAGAAATGCCTTTTGATTATTTTTTCTGTACCTATATTTTGTACTATTGACCTTGCTTTGCATGCTGCGCATTTGAGTTTGTCAAAAGCTTTGCTTTACTCAACTTTTTTAAGAGATTTTTTAAATTATCACTCAATTAAGTGTAAATAGAACAAGAAAATTCAAAGAATTGCGATCCCCCGCTTTCGGTGTCTTTTTTGGTGAGATGCCATTATTTACGGTATATTTTGTCAAATATATGAACGCCATATTATATGACATTCAGAAGTTAATTATCAACAAAGTTGATTTTTTGAAAATGAGGTCAATCGTGAGGGTCAAGGTCAAAAGGTAAAAATCGTACCATGCTCGGAAATATCTTGGCACAGGTAATGCACGTCAAACAAATATAAGCATCTCAATCAAAATTAATAGTGAACAGACAAATTCAAAGAATTGTGGTCTTTGGGATGAGATGTCATTATTTATGGCATATTGTGTCAAATATGAACCCCCTATCATATATCATTTAGAGGTGTATTTTTTTTTTTTTTTTTTTTGAAAATTAGGTCAATAGTGAAGGTCAAGGGAACAAAAATCATAGCATGTTCAGAGATATATTGTCACAGGTAATACATGTGTCAAATGTGAAAGCCATATATATCTCTTCTCAAAGTCAAATATGAAAGCACTATCTGTTTTTAACATTTTTGAAAAGTTGGTCAAGCTTCAAGGTCAAGATAATGTGATCAAATACCATAGTGTATTTAGACAGGTCTTGCCACAGGCAATACAGATATTTAATGTGAAAGCCTTATCTCTTATTCAAATGCCATGACCACGGTTAAAGTTGTTGAAAATAAGTCAAACTTCAAGGTCAAGATCAGGAGGTGATAAATCATAGTGTACTAGTATTTAGAAAGGTCTTGTCACAAGTAATACACATGTGTAATATGAAAGCCCTAACTCTTCTCATTCAAAGGCAAGGCCCATTCAAGGTAATGTTTAAAATTTTGAAAATGGGTCAAACTTCAAGGTCAAAAATCATAGTGTATTAAGAAAAAGACTCTTCACAGGCGATAAACATGTGTAATGTGACAGCTCTGTCTCCTCTCGTTCAAAAGATATGACCAAGGTTAGTTTTTGTAAGGACAGAACTACAGACTGACAGACGAAAGAGGGGAACAAAAAGAAAAGAAAAGATACAATAAGATTTTTTTTAGGTATTTGTATTTTTTTTATCCAAGTACAAGTGGGAGATGATGAGGGTATACGAATCGGGCACTTGTCTAGGAAGCTGTAATCAATCATTACAATCGCATTTTAAGTTCAAGGAAATATTCCTTTGCAGGTTCCTGTATTAATATTTTAGTCAACGAGATTATAATATTCTTAAATATTTATTTCAGAACTAGGAAGTACCTAAATTTTAAACAGACGAACGTGATTATCCTTGTCACGTGATTCAGACAGTTTTTGTGGCGCCATTTTTCATCTCTTTTCGTCTAGACAGAAATACTTTCCCCTCATGCGACACTGGGCAATCTGTTCCTACATTACATAGATATCTCGGAATATCGATATTTCTTTAATTGCACGAAATGGGTGCGGATTGATTTTGTAGCGATTCCTATTGAAGTTTGACATCAAGTAAGCTGAGTCGTTCCCAAAATGGCGCGGGTTTTTCCGATAATGGACTCTAAGTTGTCTCCAAGGAACGAATCCATTTCTAACGGACAGACGACAGAGAAATAAATGGCCGACTGTTGGCTACAAATTGAATGTTTCGCTTTTTATGTGTCTTGTTTCCCTTGGGACAAGGATATCGAGAAAGCAGCCGCATTCGTTTTCAATGATCATTTTTTCACTTAGCTCTCTGATGTTTTAATAGATAACGTGAAATAATCTGAATAGAAACATCACATTTCTTCGTCAATCTTCGACAAAGAGGGGTTGTGAAAATAATGGGGGTTGAAGTTGCGAAAAATAAAAGGTCTAGATGTTCATCGCCAGACAAATGTACCCTGGTGACTACAGACGACGGACTATAAATAAAACAGCATTCATACTCAACGCCTCGAAAGTTTTCGAGGAAGAACAAATAATTTTTAACCGCGTCTTTAACATTTTTGTACTCATAATTTAGTCGCATGCCGATCCAACAACTTGAACACCCTAAAAAATGAAAAACAAGGTAAAATGTCAAAAAAATGTGTAAAATATCACAACTGGGAGACAGAAATTCCCTTCACCGGTTGCTTATCATTAACAAGACATACAATATATTAGTATCTAAATAAGTGAAAATGCATACATTTGAAAAAATATCTATCTCTCTCTCTCTCTCTCTCTCTCTGTCTTTTGTTGTTTGTTTATTTTATTTTTTTTTTTTGGGGGGGGGGGGGAGGTCATTTACATGTAAATCTTCTAGCCATGCATGGTTATCAACATTCATTTTTACTTATTGGGCTCTAAATAGATATGTTCTAATTGTATTCTCATTATTTGTGCGTGCACAGAACACTTATTGTTATCAGATTACAAGCAATTTTTACAGATAGGTTACATTTATTTAATTTCCCTTTTAAACTGGTGATTTTAAGCATCATTTACTATATGATGTACAAGAAACCATATCAAGAGAGGCAAAGCGTAAAATACCAATAAAGAAATTGCCTCGCTTAACTCCGAAACATATGTTAGGCCCGTATCGACCCCATACCGTACAAAAATTCACATTTTTCAAGTTGATCATAAAATGATTTATTTCTCCAAAACTGTTCTTTGATAGTCTGTCGAGTGCTTTAATTCAATATTTACCATTAACAGAACAAAAACCTCGGCATAACGTTGCAGCGATAGTTATAGAAGCCGGTTGTATGACATTTGGCGCGCCGCGGCACGTGCCTTTCAGCTCCGCCCAAAATCATACAGTACATGTAAATTACCTCTTTTAGCTTCTCCCCTATCGAAGATTCATTATCTCATGCATGGCATATTTACGGTGTAGAACTAATTAATTGTAGTTTAATAGACAATTCCATTTGTAAATACACAGTGTCGGAAGACCTTTGAGAATTGAGCCCGATCTGAAATGTTATTTAATTTTTCCATCAGTCTGTCTTCTGCTGGGATCTTCTTCAAAGAATGAGAAATAAATGTGGCTCAAATTTCAAAGAGCATTTTAAAATCTAATCAAGTTGCTATAAATTGTTTAACTAATTTAAAAGATGAAACAATCCACATATATGTATGTCTTATTAGCCTTATATGTATATTGATAAGTATCCTTTATTTGTTTAAATTATTTATTTTTAATATTTACTTAAGATTCTCCTTTAAACAGTTTTTTTTTTTTTGGTAAGGTAGGAATATTGCTGATAATTTCAAAAAACTTCGGAGTAATGAATAATCCATTCATAAAATATAAGCAAATAAGTTATCATTTAGATTCTATTATAGTGACGTTGTGCATTATTTATAAACATTAAAATATAATTTATCATATACACTGTACTGTTTTATATAATTCATAAATTTAATTAAAAATTTATCTTTATGAAATTTCATTTTTGATTTGGTGAACCATAAGTTCTTCGGTAAGATAAAAAAAAAGTAAATATTTTGTACGAAAACTGCTCGAGCATTTCAACATTATATTCACAATATTCGTTGATGATATAAAAGATACTTTTTTAAAGAATTCTCACAGATAAAGGATAAACTTGACGTAAACCCTTATGCACACTGGCAAATGCTACAAACAGTTTTTTTTTTTTCAAAATTCGTGAACAAAATGCTAAATCGGTGTGTTTTTTTTTTTTTTTTTTTTTTTTATAAATATGTACTTCAAAAAAGTAAAGCATTAATTTTATTTCAAAGTTTTATTCAAGTTGCTTTGTAAAACCGTGAAAAGTAATAAAACTAGAGGTACTGTGAGCAATGAGCTCACTAAATGATACTCTCCACCTCCAATATGAATATAATGAGTCCATGTTTTGCTATGGGAAGCCCAAAATACGTGTCGGATCAAAAAGTAAAATAGGATATCACAATGCCAATATGTTATAAAGATTCTGTGAAAGTCTCATCAAAT